TGAAGGTTAGGACAATTGGCTACACAGGGGAAGGGATCAGGTCTCCCCCACAGGTAGGATGTGTGGGAGTTGGGGAGGTAGGGGAGGGAGGGAGGTATCTGCTGCTCAGACTCTCAGCAACGTGCTCTGCCCTCCCCGAGCTGAGGCAGGAGCCCATCAGAATGATGGATGCGGCCTGGGCCCAGCCTCCTTACACTCCCTATTACCAATATTCAGGGCTCAAGGTGAGGAAAGGGGACCTTGGTCTCACTCTCAGGCTGTCACCGAGGCACAGGACAGAGCTCTGCTACCTTCCTTCCTGCAAAAAGGCCTGTGTGTGGTGGGGCTGGGTGGGGGCAGGGGTTTTAGAGGGCGGCTGGAGGGATGTCCGGCTGGATGGGGGAGGCCGGGCCAGGAGGTGTGAATACTTCCTGTGGGCCACACCCGAGAAAGCTCAGCCGAGGCCATTTTGAGCCCTGGGCATAAGATTCTCCCACCCTCTCCAGGCTGTCCTCCTGGGTGACATCCAGTGGGGCCTTGACACTGGAGAATGTGGGGCTCACTCACGCTCCCTTCCCATCGCTCTCCTGTGGCCTCCAGCTCATTCAGCTACAGCTTCTCAGGCAACTTTCATGGCTTGGTTCTTTGAGTGGTCCCTTCGATGCTCCCTCTCCAATGGCCTGGCCAGGAAGGCCTTCCCCCCAGAATACAATCTTTCTTTCTCTCTCTCCTCCTTAGCCGAGAGGACGTACAGCTTGCTATCTTCAGAGAAGATAGCAATTTCACTCTCTCTCCATGTCAAAATCCTCTCTCTCCATGTCAACCCTTTATTTCCTTGGGGTAGGGCATGAGCTTCAGGTGGCCCAGTTCCTAGCCACACCCTCTACAAGCCTTGCATAGACAACTTAGTACCTCTGTCTGGGATGAGGGGATGTTTCCCACTTACTGTTTTGTTCCCGTGGGTGGGGCTTAAGAAAGAAGCCGGTTGCAGGATCCTGCCCTGGACTTTGGGCCACAGTGAGGCGTATGCCCCCTTGGCCACAGTGTTCGTCTCGGGCCCTGAGATCTCTGTATCTTCTTCCCAACCAGCATAACTACTATATATATTATATATATACATAACTATTATATATATATATACACACTATACATAACTATTATATATATATATACACATATATATATATAATTGTAAAGATTTCCGTCAGATCCCCCAGCAGTCTGACCCAATTGCCTAAGAGAAGGCCCACTATGATTTACAGAGTCTGGACTTGGAGTCAGGCATCCTTGTCTTAAGCTTGCCCCTCTCGCTGAAGGGCTGTGGGACCCTAAACAAGTCAGTAACCCTCTCTGGGCTTCGGTTTCTCGGCTCTGAAACAAAGCGCTTGAGCTGGATGATATCCACGCTCCAGAATGCTGAGTCTGTCTTGGGGAATGTAAAGGGCCAGGGCTAGGCCAGTTCCAGGGCAAAGCCTGGTATTTGCTCTCCCATCAGTGGGCTGCTTTGTTCCAGGTGACAAGCTTGTCATACGATCTGTCTCCTGCCTTAGGGGAATGTATTCCTGCAGTTCAGGATAGAGACAGAACAAAGGGGCAGGCCCCCAGGCCTGGGAGCCCCACAGCGATGTCCAGCCTCAGCCAAGGAAGCCACAGGTTCCAAATAGCCTTATCCCAGGATCTAAAATAGGCAGTCTATGGTTTCCAGGCTCGCCTCCACTAAAGATAAAAATATCTTGGGCTCAGGGACGTTCCCAGTCATAAATCGATAAGCTAGGACTATTTCTGTCCCCATCCTTTGCCTGGGGTTTCTCCTGCACCCTCCATCCATCCTGTCCTCCCCATCCTGGCCTTCCAGTCACCCCAGCTCAGCTGGAGGAGGATGGCAGTCCTTAGCCGCCTTCAGACAACAGTTGAGCAGGCTGGCCACACCAACGTTAGAACCCAGCCCTGCCTGCAGGTGGAGAGACAGCATTCAGGGACCTTCCACAGCCTCTGGGAGCCTGCTCAGCCCCAGTGCACTCTGGCAGGCTGATCAGCTCCTGGTCTATACCAGCTTCCTGACTGCTCTCCAAGAGTAAACACCACGGGCCAAGGAAGTCCTCTGTGTCGCTGTGGGTCGGGCTTCTCCTTCATGTGGCTGCAGAGATTAAACGAATACCTCTTAGGGCCACAGGACAGGTCAAATGACACCCTGTAGGTAAAGCACTAAATGTGGCACCTAGCCAGTTACAGACACTCAGAAAAGAAGACGCGCCCTCTCCCTCCCGCCACAAGCCGTTGCTCAAGAGCTCGGGCTGTCATGGCTGACCCACATCCTCTGAGGGCTCTTCTGAGATTTTGTCATTCTGAAACCCTAAGTCAGCTTTAAGTTCAGCTCCTGGAGAGGGCTTTGGAGACACACTGTCTACACTGAGATCCTCAGTCAGTTTCCTGGAAATGCAGTGCAGCTGGGCAGGTTGAGGCTTTGGTCTCATGTCCAGTCTTCTACCTCCCTCTGCAGGTCACAGTGGGGTACTGCAGGCAGTCTTGGCCCCATTTCTTGTGCGATACAAGGAAGACCAAGCACCCTCCCCTCGTGGACTCCAGATTATTTTTTTTTTAAGCTTTTATTTATTTTAGTTTGACAGAGACAGAAAGAAATCACAAGCAGCGTCAAAGGGAGAAGCAGACTCCCCACTGGCAGGGAACCTGATGTGGGGCTCGATCCCAGGACTCTGGGATCATGACCTGAGCCCAAGGCAGATGTTCAACCAACTGAGCCACCCAAGGCAGATGTTCAACCGACTGAGTCACCCAGACTCCAGACGGTTCACAGACTAAGATGGCAGCAGGAGGCCGGCAGTCTGAGAGAACAGCCCATCAGCATAACACAGTGATGGATTTCCATAACCATTCTGCCTGGCCTCTCTTCCTAAGCTCAGAAGAAAATTCACAGTCATTCTTCAGTCCTTGCAGGCTCACTAATGACAGTGGACACATCTCAGTCCTAGGCTAGTGTCCTAATATCCTGGAACATTCTAGAAAGTCAATGAAATGGATGTGCATGGATCTCCATGTAAACATCAGTTCAATTTCTAATGTTCTCTACCCTCCTATGCTATAAGGCAGCGGGCATATCCAGAATACTCTGAGGAAGGGAGTTGTGTAAGAAAGTGTGTGGGGCACCTGGGTGGCTCAGTTGGGTAAGCGTCTGACTCTTTTTTCTTTTTCTTAAGATTTTATGTATTTATTTGACAGAGAGAGACACAGCGAGAGAGGGGACACAAACAGGGGGAGTAGGAGAGGGAGAAGCAGGCTCTCCGCTGAGCAGGGAGCCCCATGCGGGATGATCCCAAGATCCTGGGATCATGACCCAAGCTGAAGGCACATACCTAACAACTGAGCCACCCAGGCGCCCTTGGCGTCCGACTCTTGATTTTGGCTCAGGGTTGTGAGACAGAGCCCCAAATTGGACTCTGCACTGTGTAAAGCCTGCTGAAGATTTTCTCCCTTTCCCTCTGCCCCTCCCCCTTCAAAAAAAAGTGCATGTGTGTGTGCATGTGTGCATAGATGAGTGTTTAGTGTGTGAGTTCTCTAGCAATGAAGTCTGGCTACGACATGACAGATACTAGCACTTGCTGAGATTATGATGATTAATAAATATTTCTCACATGCCAAGCAGCTGTTTCATTGCTCAGTGCCATCAAACACCAGGCTCAGGTGCGTGGCCTCCACTATTCTCTTTCCGTAGCCAGAACCATGGCCCCATCTGGCAGAAGGTTGGGTGTTTGAAACAGTGAAGGCACAAGACAATGCCACATCATGCACCCCCCACCACACAGCGATGAAATCACCTGTTGGAGTAACTAGAGGGATGTTTGTTCCTCTCCTGTTCTCTTTACCAACCTCAGGAACTTGGGAGGAATTAAGCAGGATTCATGAAGCCCAGAAAGTACATCCCAGTAAGGAAGCCAAGCCTCTGATAGCTGCAGATCCCTTATATAACTGGAGTTTTCAGGTCATATATTTATAGACTTCTAGAACTGGAGAAGGCCTTAGAGATTATTCCAGTCCAATCCCTCCATTCTGCAGTAAAATAAAGCACAGAAAAGAGAAATGACAGACCATGGTTGCACAGATAGACACACAGCTGGCAGGAGAACCCAGGCTCCTTGACTGCTATCCCTCTGGCTGATCTTGATTTTGGCAGCATGATTTCTAGATGGAAATTACTCTGCTATCCAATGAAGATTTTTCAACCTGATTTTTTTTTTTAAAGGTTTTATTTATTTGTTAGGGTGAGCGGGATAGAGAGAGGCAGGCAGAGGAAGAAACAGGCTTCCCCACTGAGCAGGGAGCCTGATGCGGGGCTCGATCCCAGGGCCCTGGGAACGTGACCTGAGCCACCCAGGTGCCCCAACCTGATTTTTTTTAACATACAAAGGGGAAGAGAAAGAAACCTAGCACATTGTGGGTGCTCAATAATCGGGCTGGTTGGCTTTGGATGGTATAGAATAATTTATTTTCTTCCACTTAACAAGATCAGATTCAATTAACCTTAAATTTGTTTCATTAGTCATTCTGTTCAGTGACCCAAAGGCAGCTGGGGGTTTGAATCTCACCCCCCTGTCCCACTGCAAATTGGAGTATGCATCTGAGGTTACAATGTGATATTCATTGGTATGACGGGGAGGCTTTCTGAGGAAGGCACATGGATTTAGAATTGAAGCTTCCAGAGGCTTGCTGACACCCTTCTTGAGGGACAGAGACCGTCAGCCCCTGAGGTTATACAGCCTGTGAGTTAGGATATGGCACAAATACTTCTTAACCCTATTGTAAATACATGATTAAAACAGACGTAAAAAAGATTCCAATACCATATCAGTTACATGGGCCTAACAGTTCTGAATTGGCTTATCATGAAGTTTGTGAAGCAGGTCTTTATCCACATCTTCCAATGGATTCAGTGTTCTTCCAAACGCCGTCCTGACGAGTCAGGCAGGGTCATCCACAACATGGACAGACTCATATTCTGTGGGGTGCGTCCCACACTCCACGGAAGCTCAGGGGTTACGAAGGGCGGCTCTGCTGGGGGCTTTCTCTTCAGACCCTCACAGACCAGGGCTTGCAGTTTTCTGGTACGCCAGTGACACACTAGGAAGGAATGGCAGAGCACTCATTGCCGGGGTCTCCCCACGGCACAGGATGCGCGGCCCCCTCTGACACACATGCCACCTCCCACCACTGCCAACCACCCTTCAGAGACCAAACACCCTTCTGCAGTCCCCGCTGTTAGGAACAACCCCAGGGCAGGACCCCTTAATCTCTCAGTCATTCATGTATTTATGCGAAGCACTCTCTGTGTGGTGGGCACTCTAGGAGGCTCTGAAGGCGCGTGGATGTCCAAATACAGAAGTGGTTCCTTTACAGATGCTACTCACAGTCGTGGAAAGCATGACTGGTCCCTAGAATCAGCTACGTGTGCAAAACTGCGGCAGGGGTGTTAAACCACTAGATTGTTATAACAGAGTAAAGGGGCTTGGATCGGAATCTTTGCTTTGGGTATGAGGACCTGGAGGGGCTCATTAAATCAATGAGTTCTGCGTCAGACTGTTTGCAAGGAGCTAACCTGCAACCCGTGTAGCCTTTCAGGAAGCCACGCAACACCTCGCCTCCCAGGGAATGGAGTTTGGGGAACTTGTCAGTGTCGTGGCCATGGTGGGAAGGTTCTGGGCTGTGGGAAAGTCACTGTGGAGCCGTGGGTATGCCTCGCTGTCTGGAAGCTCCACACAGACTGGTGGTCTTTACCCCATAGCTAAAACTATTGGCAGAGGAGGGTGGCCTGTCTGGGGTCCCGTCGGCCTCCCGCCCCCTCGGTGCTGAGACCCGGGATGGCAGATCTGCCTGCTCTGGAGACTGCTGGGCCCTCCCCATCCCTGGAACGCTTTGGGTCCTTCAGGAGCCATTTCACCTCTAAACCCAAACCCCAAAAGGCCTATCAAATCTCCTGTCACATGCCCAGAGGGAAATCCAGCTTGGGCCAGCAGGAAGAACCGGGTCCTGCTAAGTCAACAGAGGCTGCTGTCCCAAAGGCCGCCGGAGAGTCCCGTGTGGGCAGTGCCCACCAGAGCTCAACCCAGAGGCGACAGCAGAGGAAACTGTCCTTGGATGGTCTCCTTTTGCCAGGCATTGTCCACTATAAGTATCTCCTAGGGATTTCCCAAAATGATTCCAATGACTACAGAACCCCAGCTACACTCTGCTACGCACACGAGGTAGTAAGCCATGATGCTGTAATGCGCTCATCTGGTTTCCTGAAAGATCGCCCAGTCTTCATGTGTACCCACGCATGCCTGCATCCACAAGGTGCACAGCAATCACAGAACAAACGTGCTGCCTCTAATTAAGGCATTAACACCCATTTCTGTCCCTGACTCTGCAGTCATCACACAGTGGCCTTCACAAAGAAAGGTCTCAAATGGGCTAGGGATGGACACGAGAGATTAGACTCTTGGGGACTTTTATCCGTCACACTCATCTTCTTGGCAAACAATGAAATCTCTGTGTGATACTGGGCACTGAGGAGCCCTCTTCCCTCAAAGAAAGCCCAGCTGCAAGCTGCAACTTGAAGGGGATTTCTTGCTGTTTTCCAGCAAGTTCTAGGGGCCGCCTCAATGGCAGAAGGAAGACAGCCCGGACCCAACGCTGCCCAGTGGAGAGAGAGAGCCTGCCATCCCACTGTCCTCTCTGTAGTGCTCAGGCCTCTGCCCTGGCCTCCCCCAGACTGAGTGGACAGTCGAGGGGCCTCATACCAGAGTGGTGAACTTGTCCACACAGGCATTGCGGATCTTCTCTGGGGTGGCAGGGCTGTCGAGCCGGAAAAGCTTCTCCATCTTACAATCTGGGTTCCTAGCTCGAGCTGCACTGATGGCGTCTTTGATGGCAAAGAAGATAGAGGCTGCCAGAAAGAGGGGCGGCTCCCCGACGGCCTGGACGGACAGAGCACGAGACAGGGAATCAGGCAACGCGACCCCAGCCTCCACAGCTGGAGGGCTGGTGACGCCTGGAACCCCAGCTGGCCCCAGCAGGTTGCTCCCAGTAAGGCAGGGAGGATGGTCAGAATCCTTCAGGAGCCGAGAACAAGCAACCCTAGGAAATGACTCAACCTCATTGGCATATTTCTTTTAACTCGCACTATGTGATTTTCTCTGATGCCATCATGCAAATAAAATGTACCATTAAAAGTTGTAATAAATAATTATATTTTAGGGGCATCTGGGTGGCTCAGTCAGTTAAGTGTCTGCCTTCGGCCCAGGTCATGATCCCAGGGTCCTGGGATCAAGTCCCACATTGGGCTCCTTGCTCAGCGGGGAGTCTGCTTCTCCCTCTGCCTCTGCCCGCCGCCACTCTGCCTGTTTGTGCACTCGCTCTCTCTCTCGCTTTCTCTCTCTCTCAGATAAATTAATTAACTAGGTTGTTTTGTTTTGTCCCCCAAAGCATAGATCAGAAACTTCCTGCATCAAAATCCCTGGGATACCTGTTAAAAATGCACATTCCAGGGCCTTACTCCAGACCTACCGAATCAAAATTTCTAGGGATGGGTCCCACAGAAATGCATTTTTGTCATGCATCTGCAGTGAGCCCGATGCGTGTTAAACCGTGAAAGTCGATGGCAAGGATCACAGAGCGTCCAGACCCAACCACAGTAAAGTAAACCATGAGATGAGCAAATGAGTGTGTTTCACTGGTTACAAGTGATCATCTGTCTTCCTTCTTTGATCTAGGACTGTATCAGTCAGCTTACTTGATTTTTGACCGTTTTTCCATCCTTACTGGGGACGGCAAGGAAATAGAGGATGGCTAGAATCCTTCAGGCATGCGGATCAAGTTTAAGGTCAGGTGCCAGCCACTGAAGAGGACAAAGGGTTGGCACAGAGGTGTTGCCCAATCTGCAATGAATATGCTTTTCTTGTGGGATAATGGGGGGAGGGGGCATATGTGGGATCATCTTTAGGACCAAGCATCAAAATGCACACGTGAGACATGGGTGGAGATCAGGCTTTGACCTTGTAGACTTCAACCGGATTAAGGAATCCCTCTGAGTGCAGCCAAAGGAGCTAGCTTTGACCACGCACAAGTAGTGTCATCCCAGCTCTGTTTCCTCAGGCAGGGACAGCCCACCTTTCTGCCATCCTCACCAAAGCTAGCGTCAAGCCCTCTGGTCCTTCCAGACCAACCGCCAGCAGACCTGTGGTGGAGCCCCTCCTTCCCCCCACAGCCTCCCACCGTGCAGACCAGAAGGCAGCACAGACCCAGGGCAACGGTACCTTGGACGCATAGATGGCCTTCTTGTTGGGACAGTCACGGAGCAGGGACACCCTGAACTCAGTGGGGATGCTGCCAAATGCAGGGATCTTGTAGGTGCTGGGGCCACGGGTGTGCAGGCTCCCCTCTGGGGAGTAGTGCAGCTCCTCCAGGGTGAAAAGGCCAAGGCCCTGCACAAAGGCCCCTTCCACCTGCAAGGCAGACAGAGAGCACAGTCACTCTGCTTCCCCACCCCGGCCAAGCACAGATACTGCTTGCCCCATCAGGCACCAAGCCTCACCTGGAGTGGGCCCGGAAAGGAGTAGAAAACAGCCCTCCACAGCCTACCTGGCCCCCGCCCAGCCTGGGATCACCTCTCTGGGCCTTCGCCAGGCACTGAGGTAGGCAGGGAGAAGGTATCAACACTGGAGATTCGTTTTAGAACTTGTCAGCGATTCCAGAAGACTCATACCATGGTAGGCATAATTTTTCATTAAAATCTGCCACAGAGGGGGTGGAACTGTTCCCCCCACGCTGCCACTGGGGAAACGGCAACTCAGAGCTGAGAAGCAGTCTCCCAGGCTGACGGTTGCTGCGTGTCCCTCGGGGGCCAACGTGACTCCCATGTGCCAAGTGGGACCATGTGCTTGCAGGCAGCCCCGCAAGACAGGAGGAATTTCTGGGTTGGTGGATTTAGGCTTTGTGAACTCCCAGCCCTGCCTGGCTCTAGGCGAAGCAGTGACCGCGCTGGGGCTTACGGATTTCTCGGAGGGCACCTGCCACACGCTGTGGACCCCACACGTCTGTTCTCCCAGCCTCCCTGCTCACCGCGGAACTCGGGGGACACACCCGCGGCCGAGCCCATCACCCCCCGGGTCACCCGTGTGCCTTACCTGTCCAATATCAATGGCGGGGTTCAGACTGGAACCGACATCCATGACAATGTCGGTGCGGAGGTTCTGTAGTGGGGGGAGGGGGGAGAACAAAACGCAGTGTGAGAAGAAAGGAAGGTGTGGGATGACAGAGGGGCCTTGGGGATCCTTGAGTCACTGCATCAACCAAATGGCACTTTCAGAAGCATAGGACCCTGGGCGCACTCAGGCAGGGTGTTCGTGGCCCTGCCGGTCCACACTGGCATCGTCAATGCTCAGATTTGAGTTGGGACAGGCTGGGCAGGGGATGGCGGTGGCTACGCTCGGCTGTGATCAGGAGTCACGTGCGCACACCTCCATGTGAGTGGGAAGGCCGGTTCCCAGGTCCCTGGGCTCCGAACCCGAGTCTGGGTCGATTGTGTCAGGAAGGGGACAACAAACTACGTTCCATGGGCTGATTCCAGCCTGAGCCCCGTTTTGGGGGGGACCTGTGAGCCAATAATGGTGTCTGCCTTTTTAAGGGACTGACAAAAATAAAAGGAATATGGCGTGACACGTGACAATTATGTGAAATTCACAGTCAAGTGTGCACAAACCGCCTCGTAGGGGAACATGGCCATGGCCGTTCGTTTGCGTTCGTCTGTGGCTGTTCTCCTGCTTCTGTGATGAGGGGCAGAGGAGGTGAAGCAGAGTCTTTGGGGGCCCAAAAAAGCCTCAAATACTTGCTCACTGGTCCTTTCTAGGAGGTCTTCCAGGCTGTGATGTCAGACATTATTTTCCAAGCCAGAAAGTGCGTTCTTAGTGTTTGCAAGTCACTCGTTTCTCCTCCCTTCCCCCTAACCTAGTACACAAAGGTTTGGAAACCCCTTACTTTGTGATCCCCTGTTAAGCAGTCGATTTCCACTTCAGAGCAAGCCACCCCGTAGGAGAAGTAGTGGAAGGGGTTCCCTGAGTTCGTCTCAAAGCTGTAGCCAAGGTTGGGTGTCCTGGGAGAGAGAGGAGAAATCATTGCACACGTGGTAAGATGAGCATTGCCCCTCACCACACACATACATACACACACACACACACACACACACACACACACACACACACACACAGCTTGACCCACAAAATCCTAAGACTCCAAAGGTTTTTTTTTTCATTCAGCTGTTCTTCATAAAAGCCCATGTGCTTTTAATATTTTGAACCTGTTAATGAAATCCGGGTGTTCCAGAGCTTTCCGCCTCCTGTCTGCTCAGTTATGCCCAAGGCTCTTATGAGAATCATTCTGCACAGCTGAGCGGAATATAAAATCAGGATGCTGGCCTCTACGTGGTAGAAACGGGACACACTTGCCCAAGCTCGGGAAAGACACAAAGGCTGCACTCCCAAAGGATCTGCTGAGCTGGTATTCCAGGTCTAGGAGCCAGAGAGCCGGCCTGTGCTGCCTCCTGGGCCGCTCACCTTTCTCCAGGTGAGAGCTGAGGTCAGCAGCTCCCGCAGCCTGGGTGCACCTGGAACCACTTGCCTGCATGATTCCTTGGCTATGGGCCCCTTCTTGGTTCCAACAAAGGACTTGAGGAAAGTGTTACTGATAAAAGCAGATGCTCTCTTATATTTTTTTTCTTCTTTAATCCTGAGTATCTTACACAATTCCAATTTCACATGAGTCATAAGTGTGTGTGTGTGTCTTCTCACACCTGGAGTTAATAGTCTCCCGCACCTGTGTTTTTTTTATTCATGACACAGAAAATCATGAGCTGATGGGATTGGAGTGTGCATGCACGTAAAACCATCGCTGAGCTGAGGGGAAAGGATTCTCCCAGGAGAACCTGCCACCTTCTCTGACCTTGGATTTCACCATCTTCACTTGGGTGTTCCTTTATATTACCCAGTTTTATCAACCCTGAAAACGAAGCAAGAACTTCTGAGAAAATCCGCACATGTTTGCGCAAGTCAAGTATCACGAAACCCGGGGGCACTGGCAAAATGTTTGTTTGCCTAAAATACATATTGAACTTCTTCTCCAAACCCATTGATGTGCGAAAGAAAAGGTCCTAGTTAAACTTCTCAGAGAAAGCTGGAACATTACGGCCGGTAGGAAATATCATCGCATCTTTTTACAGCCTTGGAATCGCATCTTTTTACAGCCTTGGAATCAGATCAGCGAGGTCTCTAGCTCTTCATGTTGCTACTGAATTTCAAAGTCGCAGAAGGTATGTGCTCTTTTCCGAATCTCACTTTCAGCACCACTGACGTCTGCATTTTGAAACCAGACCACGTGCTCTAACTCCTCCCGTGGTTCTTTCCAAGGAAAGCCTCCAGGCAGAAATCTGACGCGTGGTACAGAGGAAGGGATGCGGGTAACTCGGCCCCAGGTTCTAGGAGAACCCCAAGGGAGGGGTGGCTGGGGATGGTCCCACTAGGTTGTTAATGAGGAAACAGGCCCAGCGAGATCCCCGATCTCTCCAAGCACAAGAAGATGCTTCCAGACCAGAACCAGAGCACAAGTCTGCAGATAGGACGGCTCATGCTTCTGCCTCCTTGGCACACAGACTGGCGATGCCGGGCACTTTAGAGCATCTTCAGAGTGAAACGAGCCGCAGTCCATTGAAGAGATTAGAGTTTTAGGGGAACTGCTCTCTCCCGACCTAAGGCTGGGAGCGTCCGGTGCTGGGGGGGGGGGCACTTCAGAGGTTAGGATGAGAACACATGGTGAGGCGGGTGAGACCAGCTCCGTACTTACTTATAAAACCCGGTTGCAGACAAGCTCACTGCGTCAATGTAGGCAGCTAAGACCTGAGGAGAGGAGAGAGACAACGGGAAGGGCTTAGCATGGTTTCCAGGATCCCTGCCCCAGCACTGAGGTTTCACGGGTTCACCCTCCTCAGACCAGGTCTGTGTACCAGCGGCTCTCCCCCCCACCACAAAGTTTTGCCTCACATGCCCCTGCGTGAGGAGAAGGCACAGGACGCCTGCAGGCTACAGCAGCCTCTCAGGTGGTCTTTGTCCTTCGAGGAGCCTCCCCAGGCCGCCTGGAGCCCAGCCCAACCATAGTGAGCATCTCAACCTACTGCCCACGTCACTCCCCAGCCCTAGAGCTTAGTCCCCCCATCATCTCCAAAGAACATGCTTGACATTCAGGACCCCAGGAGTCTCTCTGCCTTCATGTCTCACACACACCCATGCCAGCCCAACTCGAGGGGCAGCTCTCTCCCAGCCCCTCCATGGCCCCACAGCTCTACGCCTTTGTTTGCACGGTTCCTCCACTGTATCTGCCCAAATCCTTTCCCTCCCTCAACGCCCAGCTCAAGCTTGCCTCTCTCTGTCTCCATGCTGAAATCCAAACTACCCAAATCAACCTAGTTTCGTGTGGTATTGTGTGTGGTATTGTGTGAGTGTGGGAAGGGAAGTGGACGGGGTCTGAGAGAAATAGCTTGTCTTCTTTGGGTCTCTAGAGGGAAGCATATGCTATCTGACTGGGTCATGTGTGGGCTCACTCTGTATGTTACCGTTGTGCCCACGTTTCCCACCCCAATGCTGGGAGATGATAAAGCGGGGCTGCCACTGAGGCGTCCGCTTGTTGGAAGAGATGAGGTCTCCCTCCAAAGAGAGACCTCCCTGCGGCTTTCCTCTGAGGGTCCCCGACACACAGGCCTCCAAACCAGAACCCAGAGAACTGGGCTCCTTCTTATTATGAGTGCTTGCCTGTGACTTCTAAAAACCACAGGAATGATATAAACTCTTGGGAAATGTCTTTTCCCCCCACACCTTCACAGATGGAGCCTTGGTGGACTCCAGAGTTGGAAGGGGATATGCTGCTAGGGGCAGCCCTCCCACAGCAGGAGGTTTGAAGAAAACCAGGCTCGTGAAGACTGAGGATGAGTGGGGTGTGGGACCAGGCCCAGAGTCAGGCCCATTCAGCAGTCACCCCACCTTCCAAGGCTCAGGGCAGCCCATCTCCCAGTCCTCACAGGGCTGTCAAGATCCTGGATCAAAATTTTTCCTCAGGTGACTTCCCTCAACCATGAAAACCACAGAGAAAGGGGCCCAGCAAGGTGGAGCATTTACTTGTCCTGTGAAACCATACCCACCACTTTAGCTTCTCTGCCTGTGACTAGATCGTGATCCTATTACTGCTGCAGGAAGGACAGAGAGTCTGCCTTCAATGTCCCTCATTTTCAAAAGCAACTTGGACCAGCTCAGACTTACCCAGTCTTCCCAGGTGCCAGTAGGATTCTTTTTCTTGAAGGGTTCCAGCCTTTTCAGGATGGTCTGACAAGCTTCCTAAGAACACATACACCGCATACCAGACACATTAGTCTTCTGCATTTCCTGGCCCAGGCAAAAGCCCAAGGGCGTCAGCAGGGCCAACTCCAAGTAATGCTGTGCCCATGGTGCCATTCTGACAGCCTTGCCACCCTCTCAGGAATGACTGAGGCCCAGGATAGAAGCCATAGGACCCCATCGAAGGGACCAGAATTGGCCTTTGTGGGAGAACACCCAGTTCTTAGGCTACAGATGAAATATTTGAGGGATCCCAAAGGAGATGACTTCTCCCATCAAACACTTTTCTTAATTTCATCTTCCATGTGGAAAGAGAAGCCAGTGGGTCTGACCTGGCCAACCCCAAAATCCAATTCCAACCTTGTCCATAGTCTTTAGATCAGTTCTAACACTGGGGAGTATATCTTTCCAGAATGCTCCTTGTGACCCTCCAAATCTCCTCCCCATCCTACACTCAACCTTCTTGGCTCTGATGGAAGTGATTTTGGCTCTTTAGGCCTCTCTTTCAGCTTGGTGTCAGGAGGAACAGCATTCTCCTGGATAAGACAGCCAGTGCCAAAGAGCCAACAAGGACCATTCCAGCTCCCACCCCAGGGGGCTCTCTGGGCCCAGAACCCTGGGCTGGCCCTCAGCTCTGGGGGCTGCCCAGGCTCCTCACATAGACAGCCTGTCCGTTGATGTCAGCGCTGACGGAGGCAGCCGTGGGAGAGGTGTTTGGCACGGTGTTAGTGCTCGTCTCGCTGATATAAATCTTAGAGGTGGGTATTTTCAGAGCTCTGCTGGCCACCTGGGAAAAGAGACAACATCACTTTCTCAGGGAGGGGTTAGCATGGGGCTTGGCTGCCTTTGCCCCAAGACAGACTCAGGTTCACTCTTGCAGGCAACAAAATAATTTTATAAACTATAATCCTATTGAGACTGGGATGTTCTCATACCTGTCTCAGTTTGAAGCAGAACTTTATGGAGTGACTTCGTTGTATGAAATAAGTCAAGCAGAGGGAGTCAATTATATGGTTTCACTTGTGGAGCATAAGGAATAACACAGAAGACATTGAGAGATGGAGAGGAGAAGTGAGTTGGGGGAAATCAGAGGGGGAGACAAACCATGAGAGACTGTGGAATCTGAGAAAGAAACTGAGGGTTTTGGAGGGGAGGGGGTTGGGGGGTTAGGTGAGCCTGGTAGTGGGTATTATGGAGGGCACGTATTGCATGGAGCACTGGGTGTGGTGCATAAACAACAAATTTTGGAACTTGAGAAAAAATAAATAAAAAATTGTAAACCCAATGGTGACTCACAGTGCTTTTTAAAGCTAAACTTGGCTTTTTTTTTTTTTTTTTTTTTTTAAATTCAATTTGGCCAGTCGGTGAGCCAAGCAGTTGTGCCAACTCTAATCCAGTTCCAATATCTGAGCTCCACTGCGGGGGTGGGGGGGAAGCTTGTTACCTTCATAACCACAACACACCCACTTATACACAGTTGGGCAAGGGCATCCAAAAGATGTGACCCCCAGCTGACCCTTGAGCCTGACCTGGTGGACCGGAGGCTCCTCACCCCTCTCTTGTCCTTGGAATGTGGGTTCCACTTGCCTTTCCTACTCCCAAAGTCTGCTCCAAGGTCACAACCTCCAAGGATGATGACCTGACATTGAGAACACCTGCACATGACCTTGACCAAACCCAATTAAGGCCCCTCTCTCTATAAACTTTTAAGATTCAGTGGAGATCATTCATCTTGCCGCCTCCCAAGGCAACCCTCTTATGTAAGTTCCCTTTGCTTATGAAAACTGTGACCTGACAACCTATGCCTCATTTTTCTGTCTCTGAGTAGAAGGACCAGTGTCTGATCTCTCCTGGGAAGCTCCCCTAGGATCTTGCAACCAATATAATCATAAAGCCATAGAATGCTGGCAACGGAAGTGACCTTGGGGGTTACCTGGCCAAGCCCTTTGCACAGATGAGGAAACAAAGGCCAGGAGGGGAGAAGACTTGCCCGAGACCACATGTAAACAGACGGCAGAGCCTGGCCAGAGCTGGGGCCTCTTCTGCCTGTGCGGTGCGCCGCCACTCAGCGTCTCACCACACCCTCCCCCACCACCCGGGCACTGCGAGGCCAGAGAGGGCTCCCAGTGTCCAGGCCGCTCACCTGGACCATCTTGGTGTGCAGGCCTTGGCCCATCTCCATGCCCCCATGGGTCAGCAGCACAGAGCCATCTGTGTACACATGAATCAGGGCTCCTGCCTAAGGGAAGGACACCAAACACAAAATTCAGTAAATTCAACCCCGACTTGAGGCTTGGGACCGATGGGGCCAGATCCCAGGAGGAAGAAAACCAGAGGCAGCATTTCGGTTAGAAACCTTAGACAAAACCTGCAGCGGCTGTCAATCTCGTGATTTAATGATGTAGCCCTTCAACACTTTGCCAATATTTTCCAATTCCTCTATGTGTCTCCTGTCTTCAGAAAAAAGGTGGTCAGATAAATGTCTTTGTGTTCACTCTACAGAGGAAGCCAAGGATCAGAAAGGCAGAGTAGCTCTCTGTAGTCCTACAACCAGGAGGAGGAAGAACTAGGACTTGACCCCAGATATCTGAGTCCCATGCTGCCCTCACTGACCTGTGACATTCTGAACAAACAGAAATATGCAAGTTCAACTTCATTTAAACAGCAGAGAGCCCCTCCACTCATCTCTGTTACCAGTGACAATGACCCTTCCTTTGCAATACAGCAGACAAGAGGGGGAAATGGGGCCCCAGCCCAGTGCAGAGGGACAAAATTATATAAAGCAATTACCTGGTTCAGAAAAGGAAGAGTGAAGCTTATTCCAAACTTGGTAGGAATGATGCATAATCCTCTCTTCTTCCAACAATTCTCCCTGGAGAAAAAGGAAGATTCTCATAGAACTTTCTCTACCATGTTTGCGTCAGCTCAGACGTGGTGTCAGACAACATTTTTGCAAAATTGGAACAAGGCATCCTTGGAACGGCCCACATAGTGTTCGCCATAACTGAGTGGTTCACCATAACCGAGTTGTGCCTCAGTTGTGTAAACCAAATAAGAAAGGTCAGATCTGGGTTCTGGGTCCCTCTGTGCAGCTGAAGCAGGGCCCACCCCTGAGAGCCTGGACTTAGAAGTTTTGTCACTTCCCCTCAGAGTGGAGTTCAGACGGGGTCAGTGTGCCCTGGTGATCTTGGACTGTGACTGTCCCCGGGATGAACTGAGTCACACCTTGGTGATGATCCTAGTAACACCTTCCCTGTGCATTCTATTTGGTTTTCTGGGTAACTCAGTGAGGAAACAGAGTCAGTGTAATTATCCCCACTTCACAGATGTTGAAACCGAGGCCCAAGTGATGGAGTGACGGAAAGGTCCTATTTACAGATTCATGTCGGAGGCAGGTGTGTAACTGTGGTTTTCGGGGTTCTGGGCTGGCGTTCCCCTAAAAGGTGGGCGAACGTAGAGACGGACCATACTGATGGGCTAGGATGCTGAGGGCCGGCTGTAAGCCCATCTGCCCCCAGGCTCAACATCATTTCAGGATCTTAAAGAGATGGCCACGAAAGGGGCCCCAAACTCAGCCCTCCCGCGCCTTATCTGTTATTAGCCTGGTATTCTGAGTTCAGCCAAGAGGCTGCAGAAAATGAGACCCGAGAGATCCCCAGAACATCGGACTCCTCCCCTCCCCCATGCTTACTCATTGAACTTGTCAATCTTGCTCCTCCGGGCATGATACTGAGAGCTGGCTAGGCATTCATCCCAGCACCTGGACAAGGTGAACCCCTCAAGCTTCTGGTTGAAGTGTGTCAAGTCCCCTTCCTTATACAGGTTTTTCCTCCGCACCTTTGCAAAGAGAGAGACACTGAGGGCTCGCTGGTGGCAATGGATGAAAGGGTTGCAACCTCAAGGTAAGCTTCCGACCCCCTCCACATCACGTGCCTCTCCTCTGCTCCCCCCCAGGAGATGTCCAAGACACAAAGCCACCGTTCCCTCAAAGTAGGGGTGACCCGCGCCACCAAACTCCCGGCCGACTTACTTCCTCTGCCGGCAGCCCGCAGGTCAGAGCGACTTCACTCATCCAGTACTCAGCAATGAGCATCCCCTGAGGCCCCCCAAAGCCTCGGAAGGCTGTGTTGGAGGCCAGGTTGGTCTTGCAGAGCCGCCCAGTGCCCAGGATGTTGGGGATTTTGTAAGAGTTGTCCATGTGGAATAAGGCTCTTTCCATTATCTGCAGCGGAAGACACCAAAATGGGAAAGAAGAGTGCACCGATGTCATTGGCACTTCAAAAAAGGGACTTCAAGGGCTGCACCCCCTCTGTCTTTCCCAGCCCTCCCTAGCTCCTCAGGCCCAAGTTATTTCTCGCATATGAAGGGGTATGCAACACAGGACTCCTTCCTGGGCTCCCGGCGTCTGTGTCTCTCCACCCTCTCACCTAACCCTCAAACAAAAGTACAAGGTCCTTTTAGGTTAACCACTTGCTTAAAAAAGCCACTTTTTCTCTTTGGAGTAAAGTCTGTATAAGCTTCAGTGTGGAATTCAAGACTCTTCAAGCATATTTTTAATCCTCTCTGTTGACTATACGTTCCCCTTACCTGATATGCCTCTCCTCACCTCACCCAACTACTAACATCCCCACTCAGCTCCTCCCTGGGGAAGCCCTTCCCAGACACTCCAGTTAGGACCAATCTCTTGCCTCTTCAAAAAGAAAAAAAAAAAAAATAGGTGATCTTATGATGAATTGATTTTATGTAGTTTGTGTTCCCATTAGAGTTGTATGGTAAACAGCTTAAAGAGTCAAATACTTCTGTAAGTTTGTGTTGTGCAGAATAGCAGTCCTCCCTGTCCTCCCTTCTACCCCACATAGAGTTCTCCCAGCTCATTTGATAGCTCTTACACACTAACTTCCACATCTCTAATAATGCCTTACACTGAAACTTTTTTTTTAAGATTTCACTTATTTTTGAGAGAGAGAGAATGTGAGAGAGAGAGAGAGAGAGAGAGCATGAGAGGGGAGACGGTCAGAGGGAGAAGCAGATTCCCTGATGAGCAGGGAGCCCAATGTGGGACTCGATCCCAGGACTCCAGGATCATGACCTGAGCTGAAGGCAATTGCTTAACCAACTGAGCCACCCAGGCGCCCCTACACTGAAACTTCTTGATGTGTTCAGTTATAGACTCTTATATTGCTTTCTTGTTACAGAAAAGGGGGGTATCATTCTCACCTAACCCCCATTCCTGAAATCACATCACCTTCCTGTCCCCCATCCTCCCCATATAGTCATATTTTGACCTGACCGATAGGCAGTTTGATATCATCCTGTAAACATTACTGACAGCTGAATCACCTGGTTACACTGTGCTTACTTCTCTCTTTCTTGATAGTAACCGCCCCTGGAGCTAATGATTATCTTCACTTTTTCATTTTCTTAGTTTTCTTTTTTCTTAAGATTTTATTTATTTATTTGACAGAGACAGAGATCACATGTAGGCAGAGAGGTAAGCAGAGAGAGAGGAAGGAAAACAGGCTCCCCTCTGAGCAGAGAGCTCGATGCGGGGCTCAATCCCAAGACCCTGGAATCATGACCTGAGCTGAAGGCAGAGGCTTTAACCCACTGAGCCACCCAGGCACCCCTCATTTTCTTAGTTTTCTGTGCAATTATTACTAAGTCAACTTAAAGTTTTCCCCAGTGCTAGAAATCTGCTCTCAATATGTTGGAACACTTTAAACTTTCTAGCAGCCTTATCTTTTAGAAGAAATTATTCCTGGAGACTTCTGGCTAACTGCAATTTCAATGGGCAGCCCATTTGAGTCCCTGTCCCACTGTTACCTTGGGATCTTCCCTCACATTCATCCCAGATTCTCTTTGCCTCTCTCCATATTAAAACTCCCCTTCCTGGAAACCACATCTTCCCCTTTCCTAGTCTTACACCTTCATTTTGTTGGAGTACATTCTTGAATATCTTCTCAAAAAAATAAGAAGAGGGGTGCCTGGGCAGCTCATTGGGTTAAAGCCTCTGTCTTCGGCTCAGGTCATGATCTCAGGGTCCTGGGATCGAGTCCCACATCGGGCTCTCTGCTCAGTGGGGAGCCTGCTTCCTCCTCTCTCTCTCTCTCTGCCTGCCTCTCTGCCTACTTGTGATCTGTCTGTCAAATAAATAAATAAAAATTTAAACAAATAAAAAAAATAAGAGTATATAGAGAGGAACATTTTTGAGACTTGCCTGCCTGAAATGTCTTTCTTATACTCTCATCCTTAATTAATGATTTGGCCATATATAGGATTCTAGGTTGGAAACAGGTTTTCCAGTTTCTCTCAGCATTCTGAAGGCATTTTACTGGCAAATGCAATCAGTGTCTTTCAATTCTTGGAAACATTATATCTCCTTCCTAAAAATTATAAAATCTTCTTTACCTCTAGGTTTCTCCAAGTTTGCAGCGATGTAAAACTTAGCATAGGTCTATTTTCCTTCATTGTGCTGCTTACTGGAAGGGCTCTTTCAATCTCAAACTGTATGGCCATCAGTTTGGGGGGATTTCCCAAGTCACTTCTAGATAGTTTCCATTCTTTCTCTCTGAAACTTTGATTATTTGGGTCTCCTGGACAAGACCTTGAATTTTGTTGTATCTTCTCTCAGACTTTTCTGTATTTTTTTCTTTACTTAGGGAGATTTGCTCGAGTTTCTTCCAACCCTTCTGCTTTCAGAGTTTTAATTCACCAGAGTTCATTTTTATTCTCTGACTGTTCCATTTTTATGGCATCCTATTCTTTCTTGAAGGTATAATAACTCATCTCTCTGAGGAGACCAATGGCAGCTTTTATTTGTTTGTTTCATTTGGGGTTTGGTTTACTTCCCCACGTATAGTCTCTCTTTCCCACAGGTTGCTTTTTGTGTCTTTGGTTATTTCAGTCTTAGTCATCCTAGATGCTTTTAGTATGTCTCAATTAATTCCATTTTTGCTTTCCCTTAGCACTCTATCAACTTGTACTTCTATTTCATTTTGTCTTTTATTATCTGTCTCCCTCACCACACTGGGAACTTCCTGAGGGAAGAAACAAAGCTGTATATTCTTCTTTATGTTGCCACTCTAGGCACTCAATAAATGTTTGCTGAATTGAATTTAAAAGCTTCTAAGATCTTTGGGGACAGGCACCATATCTTTTTCAACCTGATTTTTCCTACAACACCAAAAGGCATATGTTGCAAATGGTGAGAATGCTAAATGTGTTTCTTTTTTCGAGACGTTTTCACACTAGATCTGAAGTGTGAAGTTTTCTAATTGAGTCAGTTAGCCCCTAGCAAAGAGGAGAAACACAGGCGGTGGGGATTCATGGGAACTTCTGTTTTCCCTGAAATGTGACTTATTTTTACAAGAAGAATCTATGTGTATATAACTAATATGGTTATAAAGTAAAGATTCTAAAAATTATAAAGAGTAGTATCACAAAAATAACTGTTAACTTCCAGAATTAACAAAATACATGTCTACATTAGACTTATAGGAGGGGCACCTATGCGGCCCAGTTGGTTAAGCCTCTGCCTTCTGCTCTGGTCATGCTCCCAGGGTCTTGGGATCGAGCCCCGCATCAGGCTCCCAGCTCAGCAGGGAGCCTGCTTCTCTCTCTCTCTCCCCTGCTCATGATTCTCTCTCACACTCACAAATAAATAAGTAAAATCTTTAAAAAACAAAACAAACAGAAAAGACTCATAGGAGAATGTTCAGAGTAGCATTATCCATACAGGCTAAACACTGGAAATGACTCAAATGTTCATTAAGTGGTGAATGGAAAACAAACAATGGTCTATCCATATGATGAAATACTGTCAACAGAAAAGCATGAAGGACTAATCCATACTACAAAAGGGGTGAACCTAAAAACAATCTGAAGATAAAAAGCTAGACACAAAATATGACATAGTGCACAAATCTATTTACATATATCAACTACAAGAGGAAAATCTATAAAGACAGAGAGTAGACAGTGGGTGTCTAGGCCTGGTGGGTAGGGAGGGTAAGAACAGGAGCAGCTATGAGAGATGACTTTGGGGCCATGGAAATGTTTGAAAACTAGATCATGATAATGGTTGCATGACTCTTTAAATTGACTAAAAACCATTGAACTATATACTTTAAGTGGGTGAATTTTATGGTGTGTAAACTATACTTCAATGAAACAGTTACTAAACAAAAAAAGAAGAAATTCAATTCATTCCTTAAAATTCAAACATCACAAAAATGTGTTATATAGGAAATGACAGTGAGTGCCCCCCTTGTCCCACCCAATCACTGTTTAGTGTATATTCTTTTGGGATTTTCCATGCATATCATTATATCTATTATATATACATATATATGTATATGTGTATATATATGTGTGTGTGTGTATATATATATATTACAAAGGCATACATTAATTTTATATGCATATACATGCAATGTCACTAGACCGTGCATCTAGTTTTGTAACTAACTTTGCTTGCTTGGCAAAATATCTGGAAAAAGCAGGAAGTGTTTCCAATCAGGAAAGTAATATGATTATCTTTGTGCTTTGGAGATGAGCGAAGGGTGGGGAACCCAAGGGTGAGGACCCGTGGGGAGGCTACCACCATGGTAACAGGCAGGAACTGAGGAGGCCCATGCCAGGGTGGCTGTGGGGCCTGCCCTTGACCCCCACCCTACCCCCACCCCCAGGATGCAGGGGTACCTTGCACTTACGCTCTGGGAGAGATCCATGGTGTTCCCTGCATTGCTGTAGTGCTCAACCTTCAAAGCCACCACCTTCCCATTCTTCATGAAGCCGACCTGATGAGGAGAGGGAATTCTTACGAGTGCTCTTCCTCTGCTAACCCGAGTCATCCCCTCCCACCTAGGCTACCTGAAGGAAAGTGGACAGAACAAGACATCACACCATGAAAATGAGGTCACCAGAGCTTAACAGGTGAAGCAGAGAGGAACTAACTTCTTTCCAGTGACGTTCCATGTTCCTCAACCCTGCAAACACCTTCTCCCCACACCCCTCCCTTCTCCTACCTACTCCTGGCTTCCAGTTGTGTGAGAGGGAGTGAGGAGGCAGAGAAGGGAGGACCGTGCAGAAAAACTGAGGAAGATACTGGAGACGTCCCTTACAGCAGACACCATGTTACATCCCCCACAAGCAGGAGTGTGCTTTCACATCCTTGACCTTATGTAGCCATCCATAAGTGAGGAACTGGGATTCAGAAGACCAAGTTACTTACCAAAGAAAGTAACCAAGTTATTTTCTTTGGGCCCACAAGAATTTGGGAATAAGGGAAAGAGGATCCCTTTGGGAGAATTCAATCGTGAAACAAAAATCAGAAGAGGTCAAAGGGGAGATGCGCAAAGCCAGCTCATGGAGAGAAGGGCTCCCAGACTGGGATCTGGCAGGTTATACTCGTGTTTAGGGGGACAGGATCCATGGTTACTCATAGGGACCCAGAAAAGGGGTGGTCTCACAGAGGAAGTGGCAGTGACCTGTCATACACAGTCTGATGGGGCAAGTGCCCACCCTAACAACTGGGGCCTGTCCAGGCCCTGGGCAGTTTCCTTTCTCATTGTAAATTACTAAGTTCTAAACAGCCATTCTGGTCTTCACCCCAGGCAGTGAACGCATGAACATTAGGACATTCTGCAGAAAAGATTTACCCTGGGGCTGCTGAAAAGTCATGGCACTCAGCCTGAGTGGACAAAGATCAGATATAGACCAGAGCAAACTCGCAAAAGGCATCAACACCACGCTGGGACATCACTTGGGAGGTGGCCAGCCAGCATCAACACTCTATGTTGCTGTTGGCCAAATTGAAGTTTTCTCATGGCTATTTCTTCTTTGAACTTTTACAGGTAGTCATGAAAAATGTCCAGAGTACGTTCCGGGACTCCTGGATCTTCATCCCCAGCTTTCCCAATAAGACAGCACTGTCTCTCCCATCCCGGCATAGCCCCCAACATCTGGAACCTTGTATTTGGCCAAGAAGGGATGTCTGCCACCAGTTATCAGCATGTCCTCATCGCGATCCAGCATGCAGCGTACAGGGCGGCCAGTCCTGAGGGAGGTATCAGAGGCTTAGAACCCTGGGGTCCTCTGCAACGGCCCGTTCCTGTCAGTCCCAGGGATAAAAACAGCACAGGACACTCCTCTTCCCACCAGGACACAGAGCCTGTGCTGGGCTGCCTCACTGTCTAGCTATCTAGGCACTGTGCTGGACATGGCGGGGAATAGAGGATGTAGCGTCCCTCAAAGCCAGGCAGGGGAGACAAGACATGAATCCATGTGTGGAACACAGAGAAACAGGTGTATTACCTTAACCCTAATGCCTAAGAGTTCTAAAAACAGAAGCCTGGGAAGATTCAAAGCAAGGGGAATCTACTAAAAGGGGGAAATCTAGAAAGCCTTCCTGGCAGAAGCAGCCTTATTCTCCTTCCCAGGAGCTGGCAGGGAGGACTCACTTGTATGCAGCCAGGGCCACTGCTGTGGACACCACAGTGCTCCGTGTCTCTTTCCCTCCAAAGCCTCCTCCGATTCTCTTCACTCGGACCAAAATCCGGTTTGCTGGAACCCCCAGCATATTTGCAACAAAGCTCTGTGGACAAAAATAATAATAATAATAATTACTTGCACTTGAATGTATCATCTGGACTTACTTCAAGCCAGAACTAGAGCCTGCCCAGCATCCATGAGCCTAATTACTGCTGTGACTGTGGAGACATTCCTTGATTTCCGGAAGCCCCCTGTCCCCCACCTACCCAGGCAGCCCTTAAGCTGGCAGTGCTGGGGTCCAGCACTCCAGACCCTCAAATCCCCTTCTGGACCAGCCCAGATCTCCTTTTCCTATGTCCCACACAGCCACGCTTGGTCTGCCTGACATTCCCCAGTGTCCTCCCTGGGCCCCGGAGCTGACCCACAGGATGCCTACCTGGGTCTTCATGGTGTTCTGTGTAGATACAAAAAGCTCCATCTCCCCCTGCTCGCCTTTCGGGACAGCGATGGTGCAGTGAGTCTCCAAGTAGAAGTGCTCTTGGCCACCAATGTACACCTCGCCTGGGGGAGCAACAAGACCCTCACAGTGACCCAGACTTCACTTAAGGAGAGTGCACCCGCCCTGGGCCCTGGGCAGGAACCAACTGCTCACAGATAACCTCCAGATTCCCAGCATGGGTGGAAAGCGGCTCAAAGCCTTAGCCATCTGGGAGCCGAATCCCCCACCCCAAAAAAGAAACCAGAATGATACCTAATGCATCGGGTAGGTTAAACTAGTATTGTAAAATTTTGGAAAAGGTAAAGAAGGAATTAACAGATGTGAATGCAAAGCTGAAAGTGAGAACATCTTCTGAAACTGAAGGTACCTGGCCAGCTGGAGAGCCAGCTCGCCAGTGACTTAGTGCATAAGGGACAGTGTAGGTGGCAACTCCAAAAGGGGTCTGGTCAGCAGCCCTGCGCCGCGTGGGAGCTGTGGGGGGTGGGTGAGGAGGAGAGAGCGGGAGCGCCCTGCCTGTAGATGCATGAGGACTGACTGCGGGCCCACAGTGGGGGGCCAGGATCTGTGGCTGCTACCTTCCCTGCAGTCTTCCAAATTTGACACACCCCCAGCTCCCTAGAATCACATAGGTCTAATCTAGCCTCAAGACAGAAGGGCAGAGATGAAGATGACAGGCATCTTTCCCTGCCAACTGTCTATTATTTGGTTACAAACGTCAGGAGGACTCTTCTGGTAAAAATTCACTCCCCTGCTCCAGGACCCAAGGTCTAGCTCTTGAATTTAATTCATACACCAGGGCCAGCCCATGCCCGGCACCCCATGGTAGGTACCAGCTGTACCTGAAACAACATTGTCTGCTTCCGAAAATCCCTTCGTGAGGTCTCCTTTCCCCATCTTCAGTTCAGACCCATAAAAGGAGTTGTTTTTTATAGCATCCTGAGGACCAGAAATAAGCTTCAGTGACTGGACTTTCAGAGAAGGAAGGTCCAGGAAGAGAATCTGCTCGAACTCCCTCTGTCTTCTCACAAAGACATCTCTACAAACGTCTTACACAGACTTAAAGTAAGCTTGCCTGTGACCTGGGGGTTTGCATTCCTGTTTTCTCAGAGACTAGGGGACAAACTTGGATCTTGTGGAAAAGCAGGGTCCCTCAGGGAACCAATGGGAGCTGGTACTGAGAAGGAGGAACCTCGTTTGGCCCCTGGTGGGTTGAGTCTGAGAACATGATGGGGAAGGTGTTAGAAGATCACACAATCCCAGGACTGGAAGTCATTTAAAAATCCTCCCCAGGGTACCTGGGTGGCTCAGTTGATTAAGCAACTGCCTTTGGCTCAGATCACAATCCTGGAGTCCCAGGATCAAGTCCCACATCAGGTTCCCTGCTCAGTGGGGAGTCTGCTTCTCCCTCTGAACTCTTACCTCTCATGCTCTCTCTCTCTCTCTCTCTCTCTCATTCTCTTTCGCTCTCTCTCTCAAATAAATAAAATTTTTTAATAAATAAATAAATAATTAAAAATTAAAAAATAAAAATCCTCCCCAAAGGATCCCAATGAAATTTCCTCCAGGGACAGGGTGTTCACCGTTTTCCATGCCACCCTTTCTCAGTTACCTCAATTGTGATAATGGCTGGAAGTTCTTCATAGGTGATTTTCACCCCTAGAGCGGCTCTCTGTGCATGTTCTGGGGTGTCAGTGACCACAGCACCAATGATATGCCCAACACAAGTCACCTGGGAACAGAGCCAGACCATTGCAGGATATCACGTCTGCCTCACAAAACAAATTATTTTGGATTGCTCAAAAGGCAAAGCAAGTCTTTGCCCCCACAGTTTCCTTAAGGTACATTTTAGGAATGCCCTGGGGCCTTTTAATATCTTTGTTCTATTATGCGGGATTATGTGCTTCTTCATAACTGTTTAGAATCAGTGGAACTGGAATAGGACTTGGAGATCACTAGTGTCAGGTTGGCACACTCACTTCATCTCAAAGACCAATTCTGATGATTTACTACTGGCAGTTTGCTGAGAAGTTGCCTGGGATAGAATGTGGCAATTGATTACTCATGTCTGCTGAGAGCAGAAGTTGCTCAGGATAGAATGTGGCAATTGATTAGTCATGTCTACCAAGAGCAGCACAATGGGAGTTATGGGAGCACAAAGTCTCTCTGTTGACTCAGATCCATTCCAACACCCTTGTTCTTCAGGTGAAGAGATGCAGACACAGAAGGCAAGACACATTCATTGCTACACCATGATTAAATCTCAGCACTGACTTCCAGTTTCATTTTCTTCTGCCACCTCACTCCCTTTTATCTGTTTTCAGATTTACATCCAGAAGTTTCTCAAAGGCAGCAATCATGACTTATACTTCATCTAGATGCCCAGAACCAGTAGTTCCCAAATGCTGGTTCTTAGACTGGATGACCCATAAACCAGTTCTTTGTTAGATTTATAGAATAAGAATTGTCATTTTCTCATTACTTAATGATTTCATTCCTTCACAGGTAATCTTCTTCCAACATCCCCCAAAACATAAATCAAAAATAAAATAAAATAAAATATAAAATAAAATAAAATTATCCAAGACATCACTTTGGAATATGAGGTTTCTGACACTAGAAACCCATACTATCTCTAATCATTATCTCTCGAGGACCCAGTTAAGTTGTTGACTTAATTGATTAGTGCTCTGGTGGTTATACCTGGCTGATTCTCACTATCCATTATGCTAGCAGGGGTTTTATTGGTTCTTGAAGATTGTCAAAGTAATTTGTTCTTCTGTCAAATGGAGTCCTCATGTCTCATGGTGGTAGCTATGGTTGTTCTTCTTCACTTGTACATTAATACAAATGAAGTGTATTACTTGTGTATTACAAAGTGAATTTGACCTTCAGCAACAGCTCAATCATCTCCAATTTGCATTTGATCTGTATTAGAATTGTAAAGTGACTGAGAACTATCCTAAAAGTATATTTTTGGGGCACCTGGGTGGCTCAGAGGGGTAAGCCTTTGCCTTCAGCTCAGGTCATGATCTCAGGGTCCTGGGATGGAGCCCTGCATTGGGATCTCTGTTCAGCAGGGAGCCTGCTTCCCCCTTTCTCTCTGCCTGCCTCTCTGCCTACTTGTGATCTCTCTCTCTCTCTCTCAAATAAATAAATAAAATCTTTTTTTTTTAAAGTATATGGGTTTTTGTAGCCACCCTCTTGAATGTTTGGAAAGTGTGTGTGTGTAACTCCATATATCAGTAGATGAATTTTCATAGAAGTGAATTATCAATACACATAGCAATGGTATTGTGATTTCTACTCTGGTTAGCTTGTTTGCCATATTTTTATTTTCTTTAATAAAGGAGCTTAACATTATACCCTTAAGAACATAACTGGTAGTTCAAAAACAATCACCAGTCTTGTTTAACTGCCCCTTTGGCAGGGAGTCATCCTACTGTGTGCAATTAGCAACCCTCAGTTAAAAAAAACAAGTAAACACTAAGTGAAAGTTTAAAGTGCCCCCAAACAGACTCTGTCCCTTTACTGGTTGTTCTGCACTCTGGTCAGTCGCGTGATGGCCACAGTAGGTGAAAATATGGAGTCTTTTCAAGTTTAGGGATCTGGAGGCGTGAGCATAAATTAAAGCTCAAGCATTCATTCCATTAACTTCATGTCCAAAAAAAAATCCAAGACCTACCTCATCCTTTGCAAAGACCATTTCATCATTAAAAATTCCTGTTTTATTACTCCCAGGAACATCATCGGCAGAGATAAAGCAGACAAACCCTGGCACCTTCTGAGCTTCTGAAATATCTATGGACCTGCAAGAATGAGCACAGTGAGGGCCGCAGGTCGGAAACCAGAGCAGAAGACCCGCCACCCACCCCTGTCCTCACAATGACATTCCTCCCTTCTCCACCTCCTTGTCTATTCTAGTCTATCCTAGCCTATATTCTATATCCTATCTTATCTATCCTATTCTACTCTGCAAAAACTGATTGAATGTCTAACCTGTGAAGGCCACCATGCTGAGTGCTGTGGGGGACAGAAGATGAGCAGGACAGCCCGCCCCCATGGACCTTCTACTGGAGAACCAAATCGGAGTGAGTAGCATTGACTTTTTTTTTTAATTTTTAAATAACATATAATGTATTATTTGCTTCAGGGCTACAGGTCTGTGAATCATCAGTCTTACACAATTCACAGCACTCACCATAGAACACACCCTCCCCAGTGTCCTTACCCAGCCACCCTATTCATCCCCCCACCACCAGCAGTGCTTAGTTTGTTTCCTGAGATTAAAAGTTTCTCATGGTTTCTCTCCCTCCCTGATCCCATCTTGTTTCATTTTTCCTCCCTTCCCCCACAAACCCCCACCCTGCCTCTCAAATTCCTCGTATCAGTGAGATCATATGATAATTGTCTTTTTTTGATTGACTTATTTCACTCAGCATAATAACCTCTAGTTCCATCCGTATCGTTGGAAATGACAAGATTTCGTGGGGTTTTTTGATGGCTGCATAATATTTCATTACATATACATACCACATCTTCTTTATCTATTCATCTGTGGATGGACATCTAGGTTCTTTCCATAGTTTGGCTATTGTGGACACTGAGCAGCACTGGCTCTTAAAAGCTCGGGTTCAAACCCATATCACAGCTAATTTCCACACAGACTCAGCACATTGGGGCCCTTGCTGTACTACAAATCGAATGGCCCTGAATATCGTCACATGGCCAGCTTTCTCTCCCCATCTTCATGGAGCTATCCCAGAATGGCGGGACACCCTGGCCCCCAAGAGGTCTCCCAGGGAGAATGTCTGGAGACCATCACTTATAACAGTCTCAACCATGTACAGCTCACTTTGGCCCAGGCCCTCATGGGGAAATTGCCCTGAGGCACCTCAGAGAAAAGTATGGAAACTATTCTGAGTACCAACCAACTTCCAAACAGGCAATCCACATCAGAACCCCCCCCCCCAAAATCATTGTCATTATTCCCAGGTTACACTTGGGGAAACTCAGTGTGAGGGAATTGAGTGGCTTGTCCAAAGTCACCCAGCCAGAAAGCAGCACTGCTGGGGTGAGGGGAGAGATTAAGTTGTGAGAAGCCCAAGCCAGGTCCCCTTCCACTGTACCTCCCTGCCTTCCCCACGTAGGCAGCCCAGAAAGCCTGGACCTTTGCAGTTACTACAGAATCCCCTATCCTCCTACTACAATCATTCACACGTTGCTCGGATGGGGCCAGGTTCTCTGGATGTAGCTACAATGTGGGTCACGGTCAATGCGGTCAGTATGCACTCAAGACATGGGCAGAAAATATGAACAGACACTTCTCCAAAGAAGACATACAAATGGGTAGCAGACACATGAAAAATGTTCATCATCACTAGCCATCAGGGAGATTCAAATCAAAATCACATTGAGATACCACCTTATACCAGTTAGAATGGCCAAAATTAACAAGACAGTAAACAACATGTGTTGGAGAATATGGAGAAATGGAACCCTCTTACACTGTTGGTGGGAATGCAAGTTGATGCAGCCACTTTGGAAAACAGTGTGGAGATTCCTTAAGAAATTAAAAATAGAGCTTCCCTATGACCCTGCAATTATACTACTGGGTATTTACCCCAAAGATGCAGATATAGTGAAAAGAAGGGCCATCTGTACCCTGATGTTAATAGCAGCAATGGCCATGGTCGCCAAACTGTGGAAAGAGTCAAGATGCCCTTCAGTGGACGAATGGATAAGGAAGATGTGATCCATATACACTATGGAGTATTATGCCTCCATCAGAAAGGATGAATACCCAACTTTTGTATCAACATGGACGGGTCTGGAAGAGATTATGCTGAGTGAAATAAGTCAAGCAGAGAGAGTCAATTATCATATGCTTTCGCTTACGTGTGGAGCCTAAGGAATAACATGCAGGACATGGGGAGATGGAGAGGAGAAGTGAGTTGGGGGAAATTGGAGGGGGAGACAAACTGTGAGAAGATGTGGACTCTGAGAAACAAACAGGGTTTGGAGGGGAGGAGGGATGGGGCGTTGGATGAGCCTGGTGGTAGGTATTAAGGAGGGCACTGTGTGTGGTACATAAACAATGAATTCTGGAACACTGAAAAGAAATAAAAACAAAAAAAGACAAGGACAAAGGCAAACAAATTTACTCTAGAGCAAACAACTGTACCATGCTAAACAATTTTTTTTTTTTTTTTTTGCCAGAGAGCTGGAGGGGTTTACGTATCTGTTAGCTTTTATCTGTGTCTGTGTTACCTTTTCCCTGAGCCTGTCTCCAGGTGGCTGGGAGCAGCAGAGGAAAACCCAATGATGAGGAGACTGGGTCGCTAGTCCCTGCAGTGGCAGCACCCAAGGAGGCTTTCCCTGCTCAGCAGGCTCTGCGTCTAATGCCCACCCACAAATCACAGTCAGCCTCTGGCCTGAACATCCAGAGGTTGCACACCCCAGTGGCCGAAGATGCCTGGCTTCAAACTCTAGCTTTGCGGCCAACTCTGGCTTTGCCAGCTCTGGGATCTGAGACAAGTAACTGACCGTGTCTGTGCCTGTCTCCTCATCTGGAACATGCGGATAACAGGACCTGCCAGGAGGGTTGCTGAGAGGAGTCAATGCGCCAATCTATGCAAAACACTTTAAACCAAGCTGCACCGATATTAAGCGCTGTATGAGCATTGGGAATTATTATTATGATTATAGAGGTGGCCATTCTTGTCATCCGGGCTCTCCAAATTCAACAAACAGGTACGAGTAACTATTCTCTGCTAGGTCCTTTGCAGACTCTATCTATCACTGAGCCTCAGGAAAACATCCTGTGATGAATGGGGAAACTGAGAGCTTAAGCATGCCTGCCAAGCTCTCTATGGCAAAGCAGTGGGGTGGGGACACAATCTCTAAGGCCATGCTCTTCCGCTAATACTGACTCAGGTGCTCCTGGAATTCTGCAATGAAATTTAGCCCAACAACAAAGTGCAGGTCTAACCTGTTGCTGTTAAAAGCTCCTCGATGCTTTTCAAGCCACATGTAATCTCCCAGGTCAGCATCCAAGGCTTCCCTCCTTGGGCCCCTACCTACACGTCCAATGTCATCCCCTCACTCTCCCTGGCACCACTGAGCCCCTGACAACTCTAGCTCCTCCCCCAGCTGGTTTTAAGAGGAATCCCCATGTTCCTCTCCAGACGGCAAGGCTCTGGGGGAGCCTCCAAGGAGCCTCCCCCCCACCGCCATGGGGTATATTTCTTATACTCACATGATCTTGGCATGGGCCTTGGTGCTGGTGACCAGGCGGAGGGACAACTCGTTCTCATAGCGGGGGATGTCATCACAGTATACAGCCTCCCCAGAAGCCTGTATGGCCGCGGACAGGTGGGGCAGGGGCCGGCCCACCATGTCCTCCTCAGACTGACCCTCTGGCACCTCCTGGAACAACACGGTCACCAGTCAAGCTGAGCTGCGGAGGACACTGTTTCCCTACAGGCCGAGGGAAGTGCAGAGAGCTTCAGGCCAAAGCAGATCTGAGGAGTGAGGATGGAGGAGGCAGGAGGGGCACGGGAACAGAAAGGCAGATAAGAAGTCACTGAGAAGGGAGCTCATAGTATCACTCTAGGCAGGAACAAAAAATAAAGAGGAAACTCTATGTCCATTCATTGTGGGACGGGGGAGTAAAACAATTCTGCTATATACATGCAATGGAAAAGTATGCAACTGTTAAGACAGACTTTTGAAGAATTTTAATGAGAAGGAAAGAATGCTCATGTGAAGTGTTGAAATAGGACATAAAACATTGTGTATGTGTATGATCATTTGAATTCTGTAGGAAAAATATATACATGTTATAAATGTAGTATATACATATCTATATATGCATGAGAAAAATGGAGAGAAGTAAACAAAAATACAATGATTTTCTCATGGAGCTAGGATCTTGGGTGACTATTGTTTTCTTCTTTATATCTTTCTGTTCTTTCCAAAATGTTCTAAAATGTATTTATAATAAAATTCTGGGTTTTGTGTTTTTCAAAGTAATAATAAAAATAATGGCTGATATTTTATTCAGTGTTTAATATATGCCAGGAGCTATCTAAGTTATGTTCTTGCACTAAACCATTTAATCCTCAGAGCCATCCTATGAAACAGATGCCAACATTATGCACACATGTAGGTAGGCATAGTTAACTTGCCCAAAAGGTACAGAGAGGAAATGACCTGTCCCAGGTTACAGTTACGACATGGCAGAGTCTGGATTTAAATCTTGGCAGTCAGACCCCAGAGTTCACAATTTGGACCACCATACTCTAGTGCAGGGGTCCACAAATCGTGGCCTGTGGGTCAGATCTGGCTCAGTGGCTGCATTTATAAATAAAGTTTTATTGGTACACACACACACACACACACACACACACACATACTCATTTATGTAATGTCTCTGGCTGCAACAAAGTTGAGAGACTGTATGGCCTACAAAATCCAAAATGTTTATAGGAAAAGCTGATCTTTTACCTACTGCTTCTCAAAAAGTTGCTGTTGATAGAAAGTTGTTGTTTTGTTTTGTTTTGTTTTGTTTTGTTTACATGGTCAGGAGAAATCCTGGCTTTGCACATCAGCCCCATGGAGGAACCAGAAAAGACAAAGTGGAAAAAAAAATTGTTTATCTTTCCAGAAAGGTGAAGATAAGAGTAATGCCAAGAGAGAAATTTAAGTAGGGAAGGGGGGAAAATAGCTTCACTGACATTAACACGATTCCCATTTTCTTCACTTTATATTTATGCAAAGCTTATGAGAAGTTTTGAGCACCTATATCCAATCCAAGTCAGACATTCGCCAATAGTTAGCGTCATCCGAAATGCCCTGCAAGGGCCCGTGATATTAGCCATACATCATGTGTACTCACTTGGAAGAACTGGACGTTGGCTGGAGGGTCTTTCTGAAAGAGTAAGGTGGCACTGGCATCGGTGGGGTCCAGCTTCGCACAGTTCTGTGGAGGCAAGATAACCATGGTGATCATGACAATTTCTATCATTGATCCCACCCTTGGTTGTCCCCAGGGGTAAAAGTAACAGCTGTTCTAGGGGCGCCTGGGTGGCTCAATGGGTTAAAGCCTCTGCTTTCAGCTCAGGTCATGATCCCAGGGTTCTGGGATCGAGCCCCGCATCAGGTTCTCTGCTCAGCGGGGAGCCTGCTTCCCCGCCTTCTCTCTGCCTGCCTCTCTGCCTACTTGTGATCTCTGTCTGTCAAATAAATAAATAAACTCTTTTTTTAAAAAAAAGTTTCAGCTGTTCCCATCATCTCCTCATTTAGCATTCCTTCTAGATCTGGCTGGATCGATGTCAACATCAGCGTGAGGGCTCGAGAGCTCAGTACTTAATAACAGCCTCAACTCCTCTCCCACCCCTGCAGCCTGCACAGTGGATGGTTTGTTCTTCCTGCGACACACCAAATGGCTTCCCTCCCTCCTGCATTTATGCACTCCGCTCTTTCTTCTCCAGCCCTGCTGGAAAAGGCTTCTTCCTCCTCATCTCTGTGGGAAATATTTAATGATATGGGAAATGTGCACGATATCATCTCAACAGAATCAAGGCGGGGGGCGTAAAACTCTATAAGGACGTTTCCTGCCTGAACCTGTTCAGAAAAACGATAAAGCTAAGAAGATGGCGGGTCTATAGAGAGGGGGATGGAAGGAGAGATAGAGGGAGAGAGAGGAAAGAGAATGACAGACAGATGGGCAGATAAATGTAGGGAAAAAAATCAGAGAAATAAGCACAAATAGTAGCACTGGTTTTCTATAGGATCTGAGAGAAGAGTAATTTTAATTTTAAAAAAAGTTAATTTTAAAAACTTTTTAAATTTAATTTCTTTAATTCAAAAAATGTTTAATTTTTTCTTTTCAATTTTAATTTTTAACGCATTTCTGTGTTTTTAAAGTTTTCCACATTAAGTTTATTGCTTTTATTAATCAGAAGAAAAGAAGTATTATGAATGTTTTTCAGCAGAGGATTTCAGTCAGCTGTCCCCACATCTGTAGAGCCTTCATGCCCCCCACACCATCTTCTCAGTTGTCACTCTAGGCTGGCCTTTATTAACCAGGTTCTCTCCCACATGAGGCTATCCCTTGGTGCCTAGTGCAATGCTATACAAAAAAGGTACAAAATAAACACTTGGTGAACCCATGTGGGGAGGTGGGCTCCTGCTCAGCCACACCCCGTCCAGAGTACACACCCTTGCAGTGACGCCTGGCCCTGGCTGTGGCAGCCCCATCTCACAATCCCATTCCACAGTCTACCTTCTCAACTCACTCCACATTCCCATTCTAACTACAAAACCACAGTTGTGACAGCTAGCCCCTGGAAGGATCATCTGGACTACCCGCCCCCTTTTGCAGCTTTCCCATGGGAAAGTTCGAGAGACCTATTTGAGTTCTCAGGTGAGGTAATGACCCAGCCAGAACCAGAACCCATGTCACTGATGCCCAGCCCAGTGCTCTGCCTCTCAGCCACCCTGTGGACTCCCATCTCCATGTGGCTCCCTAGGCTATGCATCCTTGGTCCTTTCTCCTCTGCCCTTGGACATTAGAAGGGAGAAGCAAATTTACCACCTGGTCCACAGGACTCCCTCACTCACACTGGCTTCTTAAATCCTCAAACAAGAGTCCTGCAGGGAGTCTCTTTCTTGTCCCCACCCCCACACTCACATTTTCCAAGTTTCCTTTGCCCAGTTTCTGAAGCACGGTCAGGTAGAACTTGAAGAAGAAGCTGAGGGTGAGGGTCCGCCGGAACTCCACCATGCCACCTGGGGCATCAGGGGACAGGTGCAGCTCCTCCGCCAGGCCCGCACACACGTCCTGCAGCAGCTCCTCATTCCAGAAACTGCCAGAGAGTAGATGGTGGGAAAGTGCTCCTGTCCAGACCTCAGAATCATTCGTGTGGGGTGGTAGGTGCAGGGTGAGGGTCATAGAAACCTTGGTTCCAAACTTGGCTCAGATACGTATTGTTTTGTAACTTTAGGCAAGTTACTTGCCTGAGCCTCAGTGTCCTCATCTTTAAAAAGAGATACAATAAGAAAAAGGACACAAAAATCATAATAAAATCTATTGAGTCCTTATCATATGCACTAGGCAATGTCCTAAGTGCCTTATATGAAACATCACTTTTCATTTCGATTTAAAAGTGTAGCAGGGAAAATGTCTATACTCATTTTACCAGTGAGAAAACTGAGGCAATAGGAAGGTTAAGTAACTTGACTTCTACAACCCAGCTGGTAAGTGTCGGAGCCAGGAACTGGAACCAAGGAGCCAAACGCCATAGGTGAGCTTTATTTATCCACATCGTATGGACTACAGAGGACCGTCCCAGTGAGGTGCTTGGGCCAGCTGCTCCCCTACCCTAGCTGCGGTCATAGCAGTAGCCAATCTAGTTCCGCAGCAGTAGTAACAGCCATAGAAGCCATAGCAATAGTAGTGGGACTAATACTAGCAGAGGCAGACACAGTCGTAGGAGTAGTGGAAGCAACAGTAATAGTACTAGCAAAAGCAGAAGTAATAGTAGAACGAGCAGCAGTAGCTACAGTAGTAGCAGTACCAGCAGCAACACAGCAACAGCAGCAGCAATCCTACAATTAGTTGTAGCAGTAGTAATAGTCACGGTAGCAACCATAGTGGTAGCAATAGCATTAATGGTAGCAGCCGCGGTCATACAATCAGTAGTAATACCAGGAGTAGCAGCAGTACTAGTAACACTGGCAGTACAAGAGACCGCAGTACTGGTACCAGCAGTACTAGTAGTGGTTGGCCATAGTGGGAATGCTAGTCAGAGTAGTGATGGTAGTAGGAAGAGCAGGAGTCATAGCAGGAGTGCTAGTAAGAGTAGGAGCAGTAACTGGAGGAGTAGCACTCGCTGTAGTAATTGTAGTAACAGTAGCACTACTGTTACTGGAGTAATAGCACTAGTAACTGTCGCTGTGGCTGTAGTCGTGACGGTAACAGTGGTCGTAACAGTAGCAACGGTAGAGCAGCAATGCTAAGACCAGCGCAGCGACAGTGATGCCATGAGGAACCACGCCACTAGGAGCCAAGGTAACCATGGCAACAGCAGGCGCAGCACCGTGGTTGCAGCAACAGTGGGACCACTGGCGGTGGGAGCAGCGGTGGTTTTCTTTGGCTGGTAGCTCTTACTTTGCCGTCTGCTTCCGCGTGGTCTTGAGGGCTGAGATGGTCCTGTCGGCCATTCCGCCATAGCACAGGGCCAGCTCCTTCACCTGCGCGGTTCCCGGCTGGAACAGGACCCTCATGCCGCAGGTCACCTTGGCAATATCATCTTCTCTCCGAGATGCTTGCTTGAATGCTGAGAAATACTCACCCTAAAAGAGAACAGAAGGGCTCTTGCTGCCCACTTTGTTTGGTGGGGCCCACAGAGGGCGAAGCTGGAGCACGGGGACACGGGGCCGGCTGAAGGGACAACGCCATGGCAAGCCCGCAACGGGCTGGTGCAAGGATTCAGATACCCAGGCAGAACTGACTCTCACATTCCTGGGAGAGGTTCCAGGTAAGATTCCCAGAAGCTGGGGATGTTTGGCATTTCTCCCTGGCAGTCAAGAAGATTCAAAGTCAAGGACAAAGGAGAACGGGGTGCTCTCAGCCAACAGCTGGGAAGAGGAAAGATGTTTTCAGAGAGGGTCCTCAGAGACCTCCAGCATCCACACCTTCCCATCCTGGTGCCCAGCATCCGAGCCCACCCAGGCTCTAAGGGGTGGCCTGACTGCCTCTCAAGCTGGTCCAGTGAGATGCCATAGGGTGTCTGAAGCAGCCCTTCAGCAGGCCACCTGCGTACCTGTTCTCTCTAACTTGTGCCTCCCACTGTCTATTGTCTACGGTTAGAAACCTTGCTTCCCGAAAGAATGATTCACACTAGAAAGCAGGAGCCACCTTGGTGCTTTGAACATCTGTTTCCCTCTAAGCTCAAGCCAGGCTCTCTCTTTCCAGATAGGAGGAGAGAATGAGTAACTTTCCAGGTAAGAACCATCTGATATCCAGCTCTTTGGGGGCCAAGTTCTGCTCAAGGTCTGAACTCACCACAAATTCCAATTAGCATGAGAGGTAGAAGTTTAAGGGAAGGCTTATTAGAGAAAACACAATGAGGCCCATTGTGGAGGTCCAAAGTGGCCACAGGCTTCTGTTCCAAGAAACCACAGGGACTCCTGCTGATCATAAAGCTAATCCAGATTCCTGATGTCGAACATGGCCCTGGGGCAGTGAGTCCAGAGCCTGAGCTTGGCTGTGGAACAGAGTTTCTAGCTGGTCACTTCCAGGACCGTACCAGTCCATGGGGACATTTCCTCTGGAGTACCACGAAATGCTGGTGGCAGATTGGCAGCTGTTCTTTCTTGAGAAATCCTTCCTAATTCTGGGTATGAAGATCTCCTTTCTTTTATGAAATGTTTTTGTCGTCAGTGTTCCTCTATGGCAAAATAAAAACTGGACAATGCTATGCCTGTTTCCTCCTTTTTCCCTAACTCATAATTAAGCAAAAGAAAAATGTCCTGGTCCGTGAAATACAAAATTTCTGGGAATTACTGCTCAAAATGGTATGTAGGGACAAGCTAGGAAGTCATGAAGAAACCACCTCAGGGATGAAATGGCTCTAATTTCATTAGCATTCTCATTAAAGGGGCCAAAGTTAGCAAGAGCAAACATGCTTTGGAACACTCGCTCGAGCACTAGCTGGGGTGAGACCCATGATGCTCTCCATGACGGCTGGGTTCCTGGTCTCGCACAGATCACTTTTCTGTGAGGCCCATTATGGAATGTGTGGCTGCCGAGGGAGGAGAGAGCCACACCGGGTGAAGACGCACGGCCTCCATGGAATAACACAGCAAGGCAGCCAGAAATGCCCAGACCTGCCTGAACAGGGCAGGAAACTTCCCATGAAGCAGAAATCCACCAAGCCAAACCAGAGCAAAGTCAGTGAACACCTCATCAGCGAGTGAGGCCCTGACTCACAGGGAGCGTCTCCGCTCAGCATGCAAACCTGTCTCCTCTGACCGCCACAGCTGGATGTGGTTTTGCAAAACCGTGTGGCTAGCTATTGGCTGCAGATCCCTACTGGCTCCCAGACATCTGCCTGGAACCTTATGAATTCTTGATTTCAATCTTCACAGTAACCTGCACACTGGGTAACACTGTGCCCATTTTACAGAGGAAGAAATTGAGGCTCAGAAAGCGGACTCGATTTGCTCAAGATCCCCTGGCCTAGCTGCTGGTTTCACAGTCCAGGGCATGCCCTCTGCCCCCTACCTTGAAACGCCTCATTGTGCAGAGAGAAATAGGGTTGGTCAGAGGCAATGTTCGAGACCATGTCAAAGCTGAGCGATGCTAAGGTTGGTCCCCAAGGCCGACTCTGGTCTCCTTGTCTGGAGTCTAGCCGGGGTAAGGGTAATTCGGGATGCTCCTGAGCAGCTCACCTGCCTGCTGTAGGGGATCTCGATGGAAAGCAGGATCTCCTCCGGAGCAAGCAGGGTCTTCCTGTAGCCAGGGAAGAAGGTGTGGTCCATCCGAACCGTCCTCTTGGTGCCTGAATGGAGGCCAGAGGCAAAGCGGAGAAAGCAGCATGAGAAAGCAGAGAACGATCCATCAGTGACTCCCCATCCTGGTCTCTGGCGCCCATGGTAGGGGGGATGGGGGTCACTGCCACAGCTGGGGTCAAGGTCTTCCATCTGAAATCCTAACTCAAGGATGTGCTGGTGTGTGTCTAATAAGGGATGGTGTATGGTCAGGGGGCGGGCCCGGACTTGGGAGGATTTGCTAATTTCTACAGCATCCACACTCCTGCTGCTAATTTTAAGCTACCAGAGTGACATCAGTGAACGTGAAGTTGGAAAGAGGGTAGCAAAGAGTTGACCCAGAAGGCCTGCCATCCTCCGAAAGTCCTGCTTACAAGGTTGGCCGGGGGCTGTCCTCTGCGAACTTGGATTTCAGCAGACTTCCCACCGTTCCCTGGTGAGAATGACTCAGCCTGTCTAAACTGTTCGTACAAATAGTACGGTATATGCCAAACGGCTGCTTTCCTTATGGGTGTCTGGGCTTTGGTTTGCGCCAGGCAGAGCTCCGTGACCACCCCCAACAGAAGCCCTGGCGCTCGGTCTCCACAGGGCTGCCCTGGCGGAGAGTACTGCACAGGCATTATCTGGGTGCAACTTGTTGCTGAGGGAATGAAGGGCGTCCCATGTGACTCTCCCAGGAGAAGGCTCTGGAAGTCTGTGCCTGGTTTCCTCCAGATGGTACCCCATGGCCTTCTGTACTTTGCTGACTTTGCTTTGTATCCTCCCACTTGTAAGTCATAGCCATGAGTACGACAATATGCTGAGTCCTGTGAGTCCTCCTTGACCTCCTGTGAGTCCTCCCTGAGCTCCTGTGAGTCACCAAAGCTGGCGGTGGTCTTGGGGACCCTCAGACATGGGGTATACGGCAGCATACCACTATATCGCATTTCCAACCCACAGATAGAACAGATGGGAAGAACCGTAAGATCATGGGCAATAGTGAAATAGATTCAAATAATTAGGAAGTGATGAATTTTGAGTATTTACTACCTTTCTTTTAATGTAATTTATTCTCTTGTAAGTTTATATAATTCAATTTTTAACAGTGGCCATGTTTAACAAACACTCACAGACTCCCTAAAACCACAGCTATGGGCTGCGGCAAGCCCGTGCTTCCCAGCTCCAGGACGCCATTAGATAAGTAAGGATCTGTGTGACAGATCCTGTTGTGAATTCTTTATAAAGAAATGGTCCAGCTTTCCTGGTCCCCAGCTGGGTCCATCTCCATTGCAGTTTCCAGGACAGCAACCCTAGGACAGCAGGATCACTGAACTTTGGGCTGGCTCTGTCTCTCCAGAAAGTGACCTATCTCGTGAGACTTCTCCCCACCTGGCCCTCTGTTCCAACTTTGACATGACGTTGCTCTCACCTGTGGACACGATGGTCAGCTTGGCTCCACTGGCCATGAGCACAGGGTTGAGGTCAGAGATGGGGCTGGCGGTGATGATGTTCCCTCCAATGGACTAGAACAAGCAGAGAGTGTGTGAGAGCCCAGCCCGCCCAGGAAACCTTGCTCTCACAGCTGCCTCCCAACCACAGGCACATGGGTGACACCTGCTGAAGGCACAAGACCAGCCTCACCTGGGCTTCTAGAACAATGTGCAAAACTTGGGATCCTGATAGTTGGGATTGGGTCTCAACTCTAAAATTTAGCAGACAGTCATGTGGGTCAGTGCCTTTAAATTTGTTCGATTTCACCCAAATGTTTCTGAAAGAACTGAGGTTGTCTATTACACGGTGAAAGCAAATATCTCTGAGTTTCTGCCTCCTCATTCACAATCAGAGGCAGCAGGGGCTTGGGGTAGGGGGAGGGACTGGGAGTGGGCTGGTAGCCCACTGGTAGAGTGGGTTGTGTTCTGACTGAAAACATCAACAACAAAATGGAATGGAAGGGGTGGCTTTCCGCCCAGCACCATCAGCCGTCGTGAGCCCCCAACGGCCCCCGGTGTGTGAACACGGTTAACAGGGAACTTGGGACTGGTCTGAAGTCTGGCTGTGAACAGTCAATGGCTGGGCCTCTACCTTCCTCTCGGGGGGGGGGGGGGGGTCTACCTCTCCTTCTCCCCCAATTCTGAGAGGCAGTCCCCGTCCCAATTTGGCTTCTCCCTAACTTATCTCTACTCCATTTGCTGATAGCCTCGCCAAGTCCAGGAAGAGACACGCCAGCCTCAGGCGTCAAGACTGAGTCACCAGCACATGCTTCCCAGAGCAACCCACAGGCTGCCTACCTCAGCAGAACCTTCGGGCTCCCTCCCAGCCCCACTGAGTCAGAATCTCTGGGAGTGGGGCCTAGGAATCTGCATTTTAACAAGCACCCCAGCCAGTTCTAAGCACTGACAGTTGAGGCCTGCTGGGTCTTCAGCAGAAGCCACACTAGACCCCTCCGCCCTCTGCCTTGTGACAAAAGGCCTCGTGCCCTGAGCCTTGAGGGCCCCTGAAGAGGGACTCACCGCCACGGACTTGACCTGTATCCCAGCAAACCAGCGGAGCTGCTCCAGGACACCGCTGAACACCTCTGTTTTGTATTCAGGAAGTTTGTCAACCGCTTCACGCAGTGTCTTTTCCACAGAGCTCAGGGGGCACGAGGCTCCAAAGGAGATACCTGGAAACACAAGCTCAGAATAACAGCGAATCCCCTCACAGCTCAGAAAACACCTTCACACACAGCCCCTAGGGCACTTTACTGGTCCCTGAGGAGGGCTGGGCCAGATCACACATCCTTATATGGATGAGGAATTAAGGCCCAGAGAGGTCAAGTGACTTGGCCAATGCCACACAGCTAATAAAAGAGCTAGGACTCATCACAGGTCCCTTGGTCTTACAACTGCTCTCTCAACCAGTGGTTCTCAACGCAATAAAGTCAGGTCTCTGAAGGTGAAGTCCTGGCTTTTTTTTTTTTAAAGCCCCCAAGACCTCCCCGCACTGACTCCCTGCCCCATGAGTGATTCTAACATGTAGGCAGGATTGAGAATGAATATTGAAAAATCACACAGGCTCCCCTCGCCCCCTGCACCCTACCATGGATGCTCGATGAATGAAGGCAATGAGGGGGCCCCCTCTCCCCATGCAGGGAGGCTTTCCTGGCACCCAGCATCCCATGGGACCCATCCCCAGCAGCCCAGCCCCTCCCTGCGGGGACTCCAGGCACACCTCCCCTTACCCTCGGGTCCGTGCTCCACTGAATTCAGCTCAGGGATCCAGGCTGGGCAGACGATCATAGGAAACAGTTTGTTCTTGAACTTCATCTCAATGCCTTGAGAGAAACAAGATACCTGAAGTTAGAGGCTCCTGCCAGAGCAGGCCTTGGCACTTTCCTGCCACTCACACAGGATCTATGACATGTTCACAACAGCATCACTCTCCCTGGGTGGGGTTGGGGGCGGTTCTCAGGATTAGCAGACACAGTGGACAAGATGGGGGCTCCATGTGGTTTCCACACTATCAGCCTGAACACCGTGTCTTTCTCCCCCTCCCAAGGAAAAGCTCTATCAGAATTCAAAGGAGATTAACTCTTTTTTTGTTGGACCTTTGATTTTTTTTTTATTACTCAAAAAAGCTTCATTTTTTTCTCACTTAGCCTGCTGACTCTGTGCTTGTGCCTTCGACACCTTCTCAACGATTTCTACTCTTCAATAAGGAAGGCACACTTGATCCTGTCACAAACACAGCACACGTGGAGCCATCACAGATCCCACTGAGGTGACTTTTGGTTTTAAATGAGATGAACCTGGGTGCCTGGGTGGCTCAGTGGGTTAAGCCTCTGCCTTCGGCTCAGGTCATGATCCCAGGGTCCTGGGATCGAGCCCCGCATCAGGCTCTCTGCTCAGCGGGGAGCCTGCTTCCCCCTCTCTCTCTGCCTGCCTCTCTGCCTACTTGTGATCTCTGTCTGTCAAATAAATAAATAAAATCTTAAAAAATAAATAAATGAGATGAACCTGAATTATGTGTGTGTGTCTGTGTCTATGTGTATGTGCGTGGGTGTGTGTGCACATGTGTGTGTGTGGCGGAGGAGGAGATAATATAGAGAAGCACAGCATACTAACACACGTCAGGAGCCCACTGAAACACCTCACACATCTTAACTCACTATATCCTCACAATCGCCTTGTGAGATATTGTGATTTTCTGTTTGTAGATGAAGCGGCTGAGGCACAGGAAAGTTAGGCTCTTGCCCAAATTACGCAGCTAAGAATAGGCATGTTTCGGTCCGTGTGCAATTCTTACAAGTTGGTGTATCATAGTAACAATAGCATGAACATCTAGCACTCAGACAAAAAGGAAAACCGTCTCAGAGAGAAAACATCAAGTCTGCCTCCCCGTCCCCAGCATCCGCCTGCACCCTTCCAGGTGCGTGGCTCTGTGGGGCCACACGTCTGTGTCCAGCTTCTGGTCTCGGTGAGTCAAGGGAAAGGGCTCCGTGAACAGATTCAGCCCTGGTGCTCAGGCCCCGTCCGCTCGGCACCTCTCCCAGCCCGTCCCACAGAGCTCCAGATGGGAAGGTTCAAAAAGAAGAGTCTGTGCATCCTCCCACCCCCTCGTGTGCTGTGGAGAGTCTCCGCAGTGTGGTCCAGGCTTTGAATGCAGGCTCCAGGGACAAAGAACGCAGGTGGAGGGCAGAGGTGGCCCGTCTTCTCAAGGCTCGCTCTCTGCTCAGCTTCCCCCAAATCCCTCTCGGGTGTATATATAAGGGAGAAGGGGTGAGCCGGATGAAGTCATCTTCAGAAGTTATTTCTAACTTGAAGCTTATAAAATGTGTGTGGATTCATTCTCTTCCATTAGAGTCTGATTGTGTCCAGGATGTTATGTTATGAACAGGATGTTATGTTACATTATGTTATGGACATGTCATGTGTCAAAGGAGCTCGAAGATTTTTCCAAACAGTCACTCTCTACTTTAACTCATGCCACCCTGGACCCCAGGGCCATGGCCACACAGGCTATAGGGTCACATTACAGGACGCACAGCTCCTAGGCCACCCGGATACCCTGGTGTGTCACATTTCTGCAGCTGGAGTCTCGGTCGCACACCTGTGCTCATGAGGGCGGGGCCTACTCTGTCCCCTGCCAGCTTGAAACCAATCAGACCCTCCTCTCTGTGTCTACAGATCCAGCAAGAATCCAGGGCCCAGGGGTTCCTTCCAGAACCAGAGCCAAGAGCCCCCCACAGGACTGCCTGGGGCTGCTTAAAACCATGTCAAGCCACCCCCCACCAAACACCAGAGGTCCTCTAAGGAAGACCTCAGCTACACCACGATCCTTTCTTCAGAGCCTTGCTGGGCTTGGGATGCAGCAAAGAGGAAATGGGCCAGGCCAGCTCCAGAAATTCCTGGATTTCTGTCCCTTCGAGCACTGGGGAGTAGAGCAACACAACCTGAGTCTCCTGGGCTTATTTGCATATGGTGAGCCTCATGTCCCAGGTGCTGGCACCAACAGGGCCAGTGGCCACATCACCCCCAGAAAAGGGGAGGGGCAAGAGAATGACACTGCTGGAACCCCTAACATCTCTCAGGCACCAGCCTAGACACGTGACCCCCTTCACTCCCTCCTCTCTGAGACGGGGAGGTACTCTGGGGAAGGAACAATGACAAGTGATCTTGTACCCGAGCTCCTCCCATAGCACCTGGCACAGAGCCAGCATGCCATGTGCCTATGGAGAGTCAGCAAGGGTCTCCTCAGGACCCCTTGAGGAGATACTAACCCCCCCCCATAGGTGAAATGGGAAATGAGGGCAGCACAGGGGAAGCCAGTGTTCTGAGGACACACGGCCAGCGAGGGGCCACCCCCGGGCACACTGTCCGCCCCGCTCTCACCGATCTCCGTGTTCCCCACCACCAGCTTGGCCTCGGGGTACTGGGCTTTGAGGTCCAACAGCTCCTTCAGGGTGGAGGCCTGGATCCAGGTCACGCGCTCGCCTTCAAAACGCAGCTGCTTCTGAGGATCATCCTTCAGCCTCTGGAAAATGTGGCTCCTTACCGCACTGTCTCCTGCCCACTGTGGCTCCCTGATACGCTGAAGCCTGCGATGGGATCACCTCTCCCACCAGTTTGTTGAATACGGAATTCGGGGTGAAGAGACAGGTCGGGGAGAATGGAGGGGAACGTCCTCGTGTTGAGGCAGAGTGTGTGTTACAGCTCTTAGACACATTATCTCTCTTAGTCCTTAGGGGACCAGGAGGTGATGGGACCTTCACCTGCCACAAGGGGACCTAAACTGTCCTGGCCAAAAGCCCGGGTTTCAAGCAGTGCCCCACCCCCCACCAATGCCACTGTCTTCCAGAGGAGCAGTGGACAAGCTGCGGGGAGGGGCAGAGGTGGCCAAGAAAGGGTGTCAGGAGAGAATGCAACAGAAGCCAGTTATAGCGTGTGACGGGTGACGTGGGGCTGGGAGAGAAAACCCCCCAGATCAGACTGACAGTGCTCTCAAGGGTGCACCATCCGGGGAAAGGTATGCTGGTGGCCTGCTGCCATGCCGTTCCTTTGGGCCCACTGGACTCACTAGGCTGTCCTCGTGCTCAGCACCCCCCAGAATCTGCACTTGAGGCCCTGGAGTGAGGCTTGATTCTTCCCCTGCCATAAATGTTGCAGCGAAGAAGCAGGATCCCAGTGAGAGGGTAGGTGTGAGAGGGTCCTCAAACAGAGCAGCAAGCCCGGGAGTGTGCCCTTTGAGCACAGTTTGGTTTCTTTGTTAAATAAAGGGACTGCTCACAGAGAGGAGAATGGGTTGCTTGGGGGCTTCTATGTTAGATGTATCCAGGAGGTCAGCAGATGCTTCTGGAACACTCCACATGGAGTAAAGTGCCAGGGAGATCCACTCTCAGTGCTCAGAGTGACATGTGTGAAGGAAGTGTGGGTCCCTTTGGAATATGTGACAGAGGGACTTGACCTCTGGGTGTCAGAAAAAGGACAAGTTCACAAAAGTCCCAGTTGGTATGAAATAGAGCAGGCATCCAGAGGCTCATGGCACAGAAACTGAGTCAGGCCTCTCCCTGGGGCATCACCTACCAGCAACTCCGGGGGGAAGATGGGCTCCTGGGTGGGATCCAAGGGCATGAACTCCTCCGGGTTGAATAAAGATGGCGAGAGAGTGACCTGCTGGAAAAGGGAACAGTTGGGTGATACCATATCTCCTCCTTTAAAATGTCCTGTAGGATCTACCCAGACCCTTGTGCAAGCAAGCCTCCACTACCCCATCCGGCTTAGTGGAGGGCCAGGAAGCTCCTGGAAGGCAGGATAAAGAGGTCTTGCCAGAGGACATTGCACATTCACCACCCTCACGGTCTGGGCATAACCATTTCCTCTTCCGGCCACACTGTCGGAGTGCGAAAAGAATCTATTGCCTCCTTTAATCTGAGACTGGCCCCCAGGCTTCCGTGGAGAGGAGGACCCACTCACTTTGGAGTCTGTCTTCTGGTTCATGCAACAGTTCAGGCTGTCGCGACTTCCTCCGCAACACCCGCCATCCTAGAGAGATGACAAATACACAAAAAATATTTGCAAAGAGTTTTCCCAGAAGCTTTTAAAAACCTGGGTCACTAATATCCAATGAAATCTAGCTCTGCTCCTACCCCAGCACCAGGGGGAACAGCAGATGTCTGCTCCCCATCCCGCTCACGTGTGCATGGACGTAAGACCTCTGCTTTAACCACTTCCCCTTTCTTGGTTGATGGAAACTAAGAAACTCATGCAGGAGAAGCAGGAGGAAATTTTAATTTTAAGAAAATTTCTCTCCAGGGGCACCCGGCTCAGTCAATTAACCATCAGACTCGATTTCGGCTCAGGTCATGATCTCAGGGTTGTGAGATGGAGCCCCGAATCAGGCTCTGTGCTGGGTGTGGAACCTGTTTAGGATTCTCTCTCTCTCTCTCTTTCTCTGCCCCTCCCAGCCCTGTTCATGCGCTCGCTCTCTCTCTCTCTCTTTCTAAAAAAAGAAAATTTCTCATAAAAGCTAAGTCCTACTTTATCAAAACATATCTTTATGCCCATTTTCGCCCCTCAGGGCTTCCTCCTTAAGAAACCTCTCTGAGAGGAATCCCCATGGGTGCTCTCGGTGCCTCTGCTTGGGCATCAGTCAACTTCTAGGAGGCCTGGCCGGGCTCCTTCCAGGCCCCAGTCTCTGTGGGGCTCCTTCCAAGAAGGGCCGAGACCAGCGCTGGCTTCAGAGAGGTGTCCAGCCAGTGTGCCCGATGACCCCACCACTGCATATCAGGTCCTTCTTGCCAGAAAGCTAAACACTCCTCCTTCCTCACTGAGACTCTGTGCTAAAGGGAGGGTACAGGTCCGATGACCCACCACCCCTGGGCAAGAACTGACTCGGCACCGCTCTGGGTGCCAATGGCAGAGCAGGGAGTAGGGTTCGCTGCCTCCCAGAACTGAGGCACTGAGGAGGGGAAGGGTGTGTTCTCCTGATTGATGTGTGCCAAGAAGGCGGGAGTCTCCGCTCAGGGTCTGGGAGACACTCCAGACTCCCAGAGTTATGCTGAGAGGCAAAGGTGGGAGCAACTCCCAGGCATGGCTCCAAGCCCAGGTCCACAGCGGCCAGCTCCTGAAGAAGGCAGCCCTTCTGCCCGTGAGTCACGGGAGACACATTGCCCAAGGGATGAATCACACCTTGACGAGTGTGCCCAGGAAAGCCCTCAAAGGGCCCGGAGGCTGACAGGATGGCCTCAGGGCATCTGAAAACACCGTCAGCCCCTTCCTCAGGAGAGGAGCCTCGGCTGCCTCAGCCCCCTGCCCACGCTGCCCTGTGGGCTGACCGCAGCCCCCTCCTGCACCCACAACCCTGCCACCGGGTCTCCAAGCACTCTACTTTGGACTTTCTCACCATGGCCTTGGTCTTCTCCTCTGTGTTTAGACAAAAAAAGAAGAGAGAAATAAAGTTCCCCTAGTGTCTCTTCTCATCTTTCTTCTTGGAGATGGTGACATGGACTCACCGGACCCCACCTGAAGGGAGGGAAGCCGCGTCCAGCCAGCCGTCAGCCTCACTCACCCAGTCCTTGTGGGGAAGGACATACTTCATGGAAGTACATTTTCCAGATAAAGTGTTGGCACAGTCTTCCTTAGATCTTTTTACTTGATACTTCATGGACGTGGCCATGACACAAATTACTGTGATGTACAATAACGTGCCACTGCCCTCCATGCCCACTGAGGTTGGATAAAGCTGGGTTTGTTTTTTTTTACCCCCTGGAGAGATTTCTCCTTTTCTCAGCAGGCTGGACTGCTAGGCTCATGCTCATTTTTACAGTTCCTCCATGCCCTTCTTTGCTCCTAACCGGACATCATCATTTCTTGCTCTGAACAGCGTGCCTCCTTCTAGCAAACACACGCCCCACTTTCCTAATGTGCATGGCAGGCTTAAGAATGAGCTAAGCAGGTTCATTAGAGCGTATGTAAACTCAGAATGCAGAGGCTCCAAATAAGGCCTTGGGCGGGGGCGTGTCTCCAGGGAGTAAGGTGCATGAGCTCTGAGCACACTCTCTGTCCCAGTCACTTTGGGAGCTCTGCTCTGCTCCTCGAGGCCCCGCAGCTTGATCCAGGGAGGCAACGCCAGCACAATGGAATCGGGAACCCTTTCAATGATGATCAAACTCCAGCCCGGCAAAGGACCATACTATGGATTACATTCACAAGCCCTTCTCTTTTCAGAAAGTAGGAGGGCTGGTGAAATTGTATCTTTCGAGAAGCCTCTTCAGAAATAAATACATGGACAAGATTAACAATTCTCTATTCTCAGGAAGCCTGAGCAATTGACGAAAGTCAAATAGCGGGGAATGGAAGAAACATACCTGCACCGTAATTTTGAGTTGCCGTGTATCTAATACTTAAGATGTGCCAGTGTTTTAAGGGCTTTAGGAGGGAGAAGTACTTCCCACAAACACCATAAGAATTATTATAGGTATTATTACAATTCTGTGATATCATTGTAATGATGTATGTTTTATTACAGTTACAGCTGTATTAATAGAACATCGTAATATTGTATTATTATAATCCCATTTTAGAAACAAGGGAATATACCTGAGGTCATGCATCGTTTCAGTGAAAGGATGAGATTTGAACCCGGGTCTGCCACACTCCAGGTCTGTGCTTTTGGTCATTTTCCCTTAAATCCACACCTCCTCATTCTTAGTCATCAAAAGCATTCAGCACAATGGGCTACCTTCCCTCCCTGTAGACCCCATCCCTGTGGCCACCCTCTGGGGTCATCTGGATACAACGCTCCTTTTCGGAATGGAGCAACCCTCAAGGTCCGTGAAAGGCACAGGTGTCTGTGACTCTCCCTTTCAACCCAAAATCAAACTGAGAAGAGATGGTTTGATTAGAGTCAGGGTTAACTTGCCCCAGTTGGAGAATCAGGTGAAATCTGGGGAGATAAGCCAAGAAGGGAGAGGCCAGCCCTCTGTCCTCCCTGCGGGATGGTTGGTGCCTGTCGGTGTGAGTGTGATCAGGACCTGCTCGGCCAGGCTGTGGCTTCTCCCCCAGAGGTATACAAACACGGCAGGGAGGCACCGGCTGACTGGAGATCTAATTAGCAGTTTCACAAGCCCCACAGCGTGCCACCTGCAGACGGTGGCTCCTCAGAGAAGAACGGAGAAGCTCAGGTGCTGGGGCTATGGTTATTTAACACCAGGCTCAGCATCTGGGCCACCGGAGCGCATCAGACCCGAATGCCCAGAGGCAGTTAGCTCTGGGACTGCATGCCTCTTCCAGGAGCCAGCTTTCCCTGGAAGAAGGGTTCTCGGCACTCCTGCTATTGCCCAGAGCCTCTGAACAAGAGGCAGAGTTCAATGCCTGCGCCAGGTACCAACAGTGGGACTACCGGCCAGGTGGCCCTCCTATCTTTCTCCCCTTTCTTCCAGAGGCCCTTGGCATCCCGCCCACTGTGATTCCTGAGTGTTGTTGCTTTAGGAGCAGGGCTGCAGCCGCCCCGGGGCTCCCACTTACCCTGGCAAAGGTCCGGAAGCCCTGAAGGATGGGTCTGTAGCCCGTGCAGCGGCACAGGTTTCCTGGGGGCAGAGGAAAAAAGCTGCGTTGAGAGCACAGGCCCCAGGGCAGGGGAGGGGCTTGTGGCTTTGCTCCTGGCTCAGTGAGATGCTCAATTTGCTTATTCTGTTTTCTTTGCCTGGAACACCCTGTCCTCCTTTTATTCCTGACTTCAAAACTTCTAACGCTTCTTCCAGGAAGCCTTCCTAGACTGCCCAGACTGAATCAGGTGCTTCTTCTGGGACCCCCCCTTGATGCCTGGTCATAGCCTTGTCAGTGAGCTCATCAAACTACATTATAAACTCTCTTCTCACTTAGAGTGCAAACTCCTTGAGAGTAGAGACTGTCTTTCATCCCCTGGGCCATCCCTGTGCCCCCTGTGCCTTGCATGGTGCCTAACACGATAGGACCCAATACAACGAATTGAATAAATGATGAATTGAAATGGTGAATGGATGGGGGGCCTGTTCAATTCAGCGAACAGACACCTTGTCCAGGCTCCCAGGTCCAGGAGGCAAGGTGGGAAATCTACTCCAGCCCAAGGCTGAGGATCATGGCCACCTTCTTCCTCATTATGCGGCCTTTGCAGAATGCTGCAAATCCTCCGTACAAGCAGAAGAGAATGGGAGCCATGTGACTAGCCTCTGTGGAATTTCCCAAATGATCTCCTCCCGCACCCACCTCCCTGGGCCACCTCCCTGCACCTCCAGGTGCAGGAGGACACCTCAGGAAGATAAACACTAAGGCAGGAGACCCCCCAGAGGTCTCCAAACCATGCCAGTGTTCTTCAGACCGAGAGAGGGCTCAACTCCAGCCAACCCGAGCCACCAAGTTGGGGTAGTCTGAGTCTTTCCTCCGGAGGGCAGTGCCTCGCTCTCTTAGCCCATTCCTAACTTGGGCTCTGGCCCTGCCCTAACCCCCACCATGCCCCGTTTGCTATGCCCCCTCCTAGGTGGCACCCGGAGGCCCCTACCTTGGAAGGCATTCTCGATCTCCTCAATGGTGGGCTCAGGCTGGTTCCGAAGCAGCGTGTACATGCTCATGACAATGCCGGGCGTGCAGAACCCGCACTGGGAGCCGTGGCTTTTGGAGATTCTCTCCTAAAATGGACAGATGACTTGACCCACATGCTGGCAGAAGCTCTCTCAGGGTCTCTGGATGACCCACGGGAAGCCCGAGCATGCCAGCAGGGAGGGTGGGCAAGCAGTCCCTGCACGAAGTCGGTCCTAGGCCCAGTGGTGGCCTTGGCCAACCACCAAGCCTCTCCGGGGCCATGGGTACCTTGCCTGTACGATGAGGGCCACCTGTACTTATCTCTGGAGCTGTGGTAATGATTTAATGAGATAAGTCACATTAAACTCCTAACATTATTATACCTGGCACATAGTAGGTGGTCAACCAACATTGGTCATTCGTAGGAAAGTCTCGTCGAAGAACAGTGACCTTTAAAACCAGAAGGGCTTCTCACCCTCCATTCTCTGCACTGAACAGTGGAGGAAGGAGACCCAGAGATTGAAGAGATTGAACCAAGAACACACACAGTGAAAGGAAGAGCGGTCTCACGTTCTTTTCATACTCTAGCCTGCAATCCAGCAAACCGGCATGTATTAAGAACTAAATGAACGTTTTTTTTTTTCCCCCCAAACTAAAATATCATTACATTCTTAAATGAAGGCAATGCCAGGAATCATGGGAACATAAGAATCTGGAAATGTGCCACATAGAATTTGTTATATGCATTGAATGTCACAGAATTCTCATTTAAACTCTGCCAGATTTTTCATACCAGGAGACTCACCATGTCCACATTACTATTATTATTATTGTTACATTACTAGTATTTTGTCTCCTGGGAGTCTCTCTTGGTACTTAAGTAAAATTGCTGAAGTACTGTGTTTCCAGTGCCTAGGATATACAAATGTTCCTCCACTTTATAAATATTTACTGAGAACTTATTCTGTGCCAGGCGTGGTAAGGGCCCTGGAAACAGAGCAATGAAGAAGAGAGACAAGATCACCAGTCTTGTGAAGTTAGTAAGGGAAATACTGACAAAAAAAAGAGGAAAATTCCAGGTAGAGATCAATGTTTTGTAGAGATTTAGTAGAGGCTGACGGGACCCGGAGTGACCAGTGGCCCTTTGGGAGTGCTCCAAAATAGCCTCTCTGAAGAGGTGCCTTTTAAGTTGAATTTAATAACATGACTTGAACAAGGGAAGAGTATATATGATCTAATTATGTTAGTTAAGAATCACCCGAGGGGGGGCCTGGGTGGCTCAGTGGGTTGAGAGTCCGACTCCTGATTTTGACTCGGGCCACAATCTCAGGGTCATGAGATCGAGCCCCATGTCAGGTTCTGTGCTGAGCACGAAGCCTACTTAATATTCTCGCTCTCCCTCTCCTTCTTCCCCTGTCCTGCTCTCTCTCCCTCTCCCTCTCTACCTCTGATTCTCTCTCTCCCTCTGCCCCTGCCCTGCTCTCTCTTTCTCTCTTAAAAAAAATTTAAGTTACTCCAGCTGTGGGTAGGGAATGAATAGGTTACAGGGGACAAGAGTAGAAATGGGGACCAGGACACAATGGTCCATGTAAGAGCGGAGGGTGGCTCAGACCAAGCAGTAACAGGATAAAGGAAATGAAGGCTTCGCCGTAGGGTTAGAAGTAAAGTAAATATCACGTCTGGATGGATTGGGTGTGGTGCAGTAGAGAAAGAACCAAAGGTGACTCCCGGATATTTATCTCGAGCAACTGGGCAGATGCTTTCGCCATTGACTCAGATGGAGGAAGTCTGGGGGAAAAGGGCAAAAATAGGGTTTGTGAAGTCTGAGATGAGCCATCCATATAGTGATGTCAAGGAGGCGATTGGAATTATGAATCTAACCTCTGAGGAGAGGTCAAAGCTGAAGACGTAAATGGGAGTGCTGTTGGTCCATAGATGGTACTGAACTCGCCTGGGCATGGGGATTGTGCAGAAGGCGAGGCGAAGGGGCCCAGCCGGAGCCCTGGGTGTGCTGCAGCAATTAGGGACTTGGCAGGCCTAGAGCCAGCCCCAAGCACCAGCCTGGAGGGAGGAAGGTGAGCAAAGCGTGGTGTCCTAGAAACCCCAAGGGAAAAAACCAATGGACAAGGAGAGGTGGAATCTGGCTCTACAGCTAACTCAGGGTCCAATAAGCACATGGGGATTAAGAATCTGTACCACTAGAAAGGAAAGGGTTTGGTGGATTAATCAGATACTGTCCCTGTGTTTAAACTCTTCTGTCTTTCATCTGCTTGTTTCCAATTACAAACCCGAATTCACCCTCTCACCTCTCCTGCAGGTTGGACAAGTTTAGTAATTTCCCCTTTTGCTGCCTAAGAAATGAAGCATTATGGGCGTTGTGATCTCACATGACTTGTGCCAGCTGCCCTGCCCCTCCCCCGAGAACAAGCAGTTTGCTCAGCCCCAGGCCCTAGCCCAGCACCCACGTCAGGTACTCAAAAGGGCATGATCTGAGCAGCGGGTCTCCTCAAGTGGCCAACGGGCCTGCCTCTGGCACCTTCTGTGACTGTAATGTCTGGAAGACCCCCTGCCTCAGCTTCCCCATACAAGAAGCACTGGAAATGATGGCCTTTCCTTCACACAGTACTCTGGTCCTGTGTGTTGCCATGTTGCCTAAAAATATCCTGATTCTTTCCACAAAACCTCAGATTACTGTCCGCTCTTGGTTCCTAATTTCAATCCACTGCCAGGCAGCCTGATACCATCAGGAAAAAAAAAAAAAAAAAAATCTCAGTCCGAGACACTCAGACGCCTCTATTCTCTCATTAAGCCCTTACTAACCTCCCTGTTAGTGGGGTAGAGGCCTAGCAGCCCACATCCATATCCCCTGCAGGGGGCCGTCGAGAGAAGTCATGGGATTACCATCCCAGCAAGCAGGGAGTATGTGGGCTTTTAATCAAGGGCACAGGGCATCTGAAACCTTGAACCCGAGACAGCGGGGGTTTCCTGAGCACACGCGGGGGCGGGGGTGGGGGTGGTGGGGTGGGGGGTGGGTGAGGCGCTCTCTTGCCCCCCTCCCTCCAGGTCTGGCATAGGCAGCCTGCCCCGGCCACCCGGTCGTGCTGACCTTGTGGTTCCCTCAGGGTCATGCCATGGTCACACCCATGGTGGCCACAGGAGGGAGCTGCAGGCCTGGGGCCCATTTTTCTGCCTCGCAACCGCACCCCCCCCCCCCCCCCCCCCCCCCCCCCACCCAGCCTCTTCCTCCCTAGGAGAAGGAGGTGAGGGACGCGGCCAGGCCACAGTGCCTCCTGCCCCGGCAGTGACACTCAGCCTCACAGCCCAGAACAAGTCCGCAGCCCTGGTTTGAGCCTTCCTGGCCTTCGGTTACCTGCACAGGATGCAGCCTCGACTTCGTGCTTCCGATCCCTTCCACCGTCGTCACAGCAACATGATGCAAAGAGCAGATGGGGGCCAGGCAGGCATTGGCAGAAAAGTGGCTAGAGCCCCAGATTAAGGTCATTCTGTTGTCCGCTTGAGCCACCGGAGACTTAGAGGGGCTTTGTCATGACCCCTCCCTCTATGTTACATTCTGGGCTATTCCCTGGGTGTCCTCGCCTCTCTACCCTGGCCTCTGGGCTAGCAACAAAGGAGGCTCCCCCCACCCCGCTAAGGCATGAGCCCCTGCAGGGTCCTGCGGGGCATTGGGCCTCCAAGCTGGAACACGAGGGTCATCCTCAGTCACCTCAGTCACCCCCACCCTGGAGGCTGAGTCAAGAGGAAATTTCTGGCAGGTTCCAGGCCCAGTGCTTGCTCCTCTGCCTGCAAGGCCCTTCCTTAGCCTCTTCAATTTCAGAACCTCCAGTCACGTTTGCCCCCCTGCTCTCACCCCCTTGTCTCCCATCCTCTGTGGGGGGAAAAGGAGGGGGTGATCCCCAGGAAACATGAGACACCAGCCCCTTAAACAGAGGTTCTTGATGTCTATTTTTTCTATCCACCATTCATCCATGTATACAAGCAGCACCAGTTTCTGAGTCCAGTCACATGCCAGGCACTCTGCTGAGGGCCGAGGACTCAAAGGTGAGTGAGATGTTCTTCAATAGCCCACGGTCAACCCAGGAAAATGTGTGAAGCCTGGGTGAAGGTGCAGTTTAGACAACTTATGGTAAGTGTTTCAGGAGGGCTGAGCACAGAACACTCAGGGACCAGCACAGACATGGAGTACCTAACCTCGTCTTAGGAGGTCAAGGAAGGCTTCCCGGAGGAGGTGTTATTTTGCCCAGTCCTAAAGAGCTAGCCAGGTTAGCCAGGTGGAGAAGTCCTAGAAGAAAGGACATTCAAGACCTGGACAACAGCTTATGCAAAGACTGGGAAATGAGTAGGCCAAGAGTGTCAGTAATCCACAGTTGTCCCTGCAAGGATGGAGTCCTGGGCCTGTAAAGAGAGATATCTGGAAAGGAAAGATGGGGCACACCGTGAGAGGCCCTGAGCACTAAGCAGAGATTGGACTTTACTCCAAAGGCAGTGGAGTCTGACCAAAGGATTTCATGGGATTGGAAATAGTCTGGATCTAGAAAGTTCACCTATGCATGTACACACACACACACACACACACACACACACACACACTCTCTCTCTCTCTCTCTCACAACATGACCCCTGACTCATAGTCCTTGTGTCACGACCAGCCAGTGGGCAAAGGATACACAATCTTGTTCTGGAAACGATCATACTTGGAAAGCATCACGGTGCAGGCCCCACAGCCGCCTTCTCCACAGCCCAGCTTGGTCCCGCTTAGCCTCACTGGGTGGTTGAGGGTTAAGGAACATCTTTGCTGGGCTGCTGGGAAGTGGGTGTGCACAGCTTTAAGTATAGAGCCATCCATTGGCACTCACAGGCTCAAACCCCTCAACCCAGGGAGGCCGCAGACCCACATGGCCCCCTCATCCCAGAAATCTGCAGTGTGACCCAGAAGGTGGAGAATGGGACCATCTCTACCGCACAGATGAGGAAAGGCATCAGGGTCCCATCAGACAGCACCAAAGTATTCTCCAGGACTGGAGTCCTACTGCTCTCCAATCCTGGAGATGTTTCTTGGCATCAGGGGCTTCCTGGTCTGGTCTAAGGGGATCCCAACCCTGTGGTCTCACTGCGCAGGGGGATCAGTCACCTCAAAGCTGAACACATGGGGCGACCCTCATATCACTGCAGCTCGGTATACAATGAAGCCACTCTGGCCAGACAGAGACATTGATCTGTTCTGGGACCCACTGAGTCCTGCTTGTCACCTTGACCCTTTTGGGTTGCTGAAGTCCAGGAACCAAAGTTAGAGTTGGACCAAGGGCTTTTGAATATCCACCCATAGGATATGTGACCAGAAATGAAAATAAGGATGATCTTTGAGGCTGGGGGCCAGGAGTAGCAACATCTCTTACATGTACTTGCAGAAGTAGTCTGATAACTTTGAGTCTGCTAGTATGCCTAAGTACTAAGCTATTCTAGAGAGCAGCACTGACTGTGGCCCCTTTCTCTGAGACACAAGGGCTCCGTGGCTGCTTTTCCTGCAGGCTGTAGGCCTCTGAGCCGTCCAGCTCTCTACCGAAGGTGGAGGTCATTATCACTGGTTGCTTCCCTCATTTGCAAGATGAAATGAAAATTCATCACGAATTCTAGGTCATTCATGGTCTGATCATTCAGTCATTTAAGTAATATTTATTTCTTACCTTTAATATGCTGGACATTAGTCTCTTTAAACATAGAGCATCTTATACTTGAAAAAGACTTATACCCATGGACCCAATTGATTTTCACAATAATTTCATGAGCAGGTGAGGCAGAAGCTACTGTTTCTCCACAGATTAAAACAAAACAAAGAAAACTGGGGCCCAGGAGGTAAGGTGGGCCCAGAAAGGCAACATGGTCACTCGGGTCACCTTGTGTGAGGGCCCAGACACAATCACCTGACTCCCGATTTGGGGACTCTTCCCTTCACCATGTGGCTCGCTCTTCTAAAAAACAACTGGGAAGAGCTCTCTATACCCTAAGTTATTCCTCTGACTCCTCAGAATCTATGCAATGAGCAATAATTCAGACAACTTAATAGTCCAAAGTCTAGCAGAATCTTTCAGCTGGGGGATTTTTTTTCAGAAGGCAGAATAGCAGTCAAGCCTAGGGTTTTTCCTCTTTCCCAGAACTCTCAGAATTGAACTCTCATGGCAGTCATCCAAAAGCCACCCAACCTTCACTTCTGTGAAAACTTTTGGTTTCAGATTTCATTTGAGATTTGACCTTCAAACTAGCAACTGCCATAATCAGGAATATCTGAGGCTCTGGGGCCTTCAAAACTTCATCAGAAAACTAGCACTGGTGTCCAAAATGTCTGAGAATGTGCCTGTCTCCTCAGACCCCCACCCCCAAGTACAGGGGCTAGCAGTGGAGTTCTGTGCAGTCTCCCAATCCTACTGAGTGATTCTACCAGGTTCATGGGCCGTGAAACTCCAGACTCACCCTCTCTCAATGGAAAATCCAGGACAAAGTACGCTGGAGCTGGACCTCATCTGATAAGAAGTAAGTGAACCAGAGGGAAGGCTGTGGACTTCAGGCTTGCTTCTGTAGGTACGGCAACTACGCTCTGCTGTCCTCAAATAGGGCACCTGAATGAGCCACTGGACATTCCTGACTCCGGGATTGAGGGGGATTAGTTAGCAGAAGTTGGGATGAGCAACATCCCAACAACCAACCCTGAAGAGTTTCCAGCATGACTAGAATGTTAAGAGCATGCCTCTAGGTTTCAGTCAGGCTCTGCCAGGATTGGTCCAGAATAGACGAGCAAGAAGCAGGTCCCTTCTCATGTGTCAAACTCACTTCCTCCTCTGTCAGAGGCATTGCTGTGGGGATCAATGAGCTCACCTATGAAAATCACCTTCAACTCTACCTATGTACAGTAAGTGCTCAGGAGTCCCCTGTCCCTTGCCTCCCAGTGTGCCATCTCCACACTGGATGGCACTCCACACACTTCCCCACTCTGGAATCCTTTCTCAACAAACACAACTTCCTCTGACATTCCTTCCACCTTCACAGAACTGGAAAGATTCTCTGGAAAGCCTCAGTGAAGATCTCTTGAGGGAGGCCAACTCCTCCTGAGGGGAATGGCCACACAGTTCACCAGGGCCAATGAGGGCCTTTCACAGATACTCATTTTACAGGCCCGGGATTAAACCCTAGCATCACTAGAGTCTTACCTGGAAGAAATCCTAAGAAACATCAAAAATAATCCTCTCATTCGACAGTCGATAATTTTATACCTGGAGAGCTCAAAATACGTCCCAGGGTTGAGACATATTTTGTCACTGCTGAGTGACAGAGCTACAACTAAGATGCAGGGGTCCAGAGCCCTGGCTCCAGAGCTCTGTCCTCCACACTTTCCTGGCTTCCCACAGTCACTAGAAAATAACATAAGGCCTAGAGAATGAACCCCCACTGTCCTGAGCCACACCCTCACCCCAAAGTCAGGATACATTTTCTTCTCAGGTAGGCCAAAAGAGTTGTTTCTGGATCTGCATTTTTCTCCACCACCTATAAGAACAAAAACAAAAGAAAAATGTATCCTAGGTATGCTTAGCCACTGCCTCACCCAAGAGTTTGTCGAGTTAATAGGGATGTGCCCAATATATCATGAAAATGAAGGTCTTGGGGTGCCTGGATGGTTCAGTCAGTTAAGCATCTGTCTTTGGCTCAGATAATGATCTCAGGATCCTGGGATCAAGTCCCTCATTGGGCTTTCTGCTCAATGGGAAGCCTGCTTCTCCTTCTCCCTCTGCCTGCTGCTCTGCCTACTTGTGTTCTCTCCCTCTCTGTCAAATAAATGGCAGCTGCAGATCCCCATCTGTGCCCCAGGCATGTACCATCTCAGAGAGTAGAGGGCCAGTCTGTTGGCCTGTGCTGCCAGTCATTGGCTCTGATAGCCCAATGCCAACAACATAACACATGTCAGACATGGAGAAGAAATCTCAACCCAAAAGTCCACAAATGGTTTATTCAATAAGATAGAAAAGTTGCCTATAAAGTGAGGTGCCAGTTTCTGATGCAAAGAGTCAAAGGAAATCCACAAAAACCTGCATCACTACTCCTACCCATCCTATGTTATGAAGGTAATAGGGTTTGCGTGACTGGGATGGTTAAGGAGAGAGAATATGTGACAAGAGTTTCTTTAGAGAGAGCGACACTATGAATCTTACATTTTCCTAAGGTTGAGGAGAGGAGGTATCTGCCTCACGCCTCAAACTTCATGAGGGGGCTTCCATAGCTCTACACAGGAAGCTAATATACAGCCTTTGTGAGATGGAGGATATGGTTATCTGGCATATCTGAAAGCTAGAGATAGGCTTACCAGAGAAGCTGAAGAAGAAATGGCAGTGTTGGGATCGGTGTGCACTCCCAGAGTCTGGGAGGGCAGAGGATGTGAAGTGTTGGCTGTGGACCTGGTAAAGGTCATGCAAGAGAGAGTGACCTGGTGTGGAGGTGTTTAAATCATCCCCAAGCTCTGACTATGGAAGGCTTTGGACCTCCAATAGGGTCTATACAGAGTGGACCTCCCACAACTGGAGGTCGAGGAAGGGCCATGGGCCAGAGAAAAGCACATGCCCCATGTCATGAGACTTACAATGGAATGTTCCCAGTGGTGGGAAGCCATCTTCCACCAGCACTGACTTAATGAGAACTTTCTTCCAACCCCACCTCTCTATCCTGAACTGAGGCTGTGTATAGAAACTTAGAAATGACCATAGGATTTTTTACTGATTAAGAGCAATCCAAGAAGTCATAAAACTGCCAGAATTTGCCCCCTGAAAAAAAGTTTAAAGGAAAGTGGAAAATCAGATTAGTTTCCTTTCATTAAAACAACCCACAAGTCCAGTTTGTTCAAAGTCCTAGTTACAAAGTTCACACAGGAAGCTATTTCTTTTCTCTTGGAGAACTCATAAATGCACAAATAAAGATCCCTATCACTTTGCTTGGAAATGGCAGGAAGAGCCTCTTAGCTTACTGCCTTCCCCCTGAGCTGTGCCTTCCTCATCTTCTAGCTCAGCTTCCATCACATCGTCTCCTGCTCTGTGCCTCCCGTGACTTCCCACGTATGCCAGGTAACATTCAAGTTCCCTGGGCTATCTTCCAAGGCCCTTTTCCATATGTCCGCAATCTTCATTTTCAGCCTTTTCCCCTCCTACTTCCATATATACCTGGTCTTCACATCCCATAGAAAATACAATGTATACCTCTGACTCTGTGCCTTCAACTATTCCATTCTTCTTCGACCTGCATTTTGACTTACAAGACCCCAAACACTTCCCCAGCAAAGGCTTTTATATCATCTCAGCCATGAGTGGTCCAACCTTCCTTGCATTCCTACAGAGAATGGCTGTGTGACTCTCACAGCATGGCTGCAGGGTTGGCCCAGCAAACACCATGGTACCCTCTCTGAACAGGACGCCAATGGGTATTCCAAAGGACAAACATTTTGTGGGGATATGAGCTTAGGAAATGCTGGGTTCAGCAAATTGTTCTGATAAGATTTAAGCATCAAAACCAATAATAGCTCTAATGGATTATAACCCATTAAATAAGATTAAAATTTATGAGTCCAAAGTGATACTTAATAAATAAACAAATTGGAGAGATGGGTAGGTTCGTCCTGATGGAGGAATGCCAACTAATGAATCCAGTTAGCCATCTTGCAATCAGCACAATAAATGAGCCAGTCTAGAATTATCCATGGGTGCTAAAACTAGTTGGTGAGAGTTTGATGATCAAGATATTCACATAGACTCAAAGGATCTTCTTACAGATTATTTGCTAACTATAAAGGATAATAAATTTATCTTCCAGTAGAGAACACTGATGGATGCCACCTTAACCAAGTGGTCAAAGTTCACATTCCAAATAATGGAGGAACCTGACCTCACATGTCTCCCGATGTAATGTACTGAGAAACACTTACCACTTCTCTGGCATTCCTGCTCAAAATTCAGACTCTGAATCTAATTATAAAAAAGCATAACACAAACTCAAAATGAAAGACATTCTAAGAAATAATGGCCTATTCTCTTCATAAACATCAATGTCCCAAAAGACAAGGAAAGGTAAAGTGCCATTCCAGCTTAAAGGAAACTTAAGAGACATGACAACTGAATACATAGTATGACCCTGGGTCCCAGGCTTGGGAGAAAAGTTATCAATGACATTATTGGGGAAATTAGAAAATATTGCAGAAGGGCTATAGATTAGGTAATAGTATTATATCAACACTTCATTTCCTGATTTTTATAGACACTAGTTCTATAAGAATGTTCTACTCTTGGTTTAAGGGTTAGAAGGGCATGATGTTAGAAATTTACCCTCAAATGGTTCAGAAAGAAAATTTTATACTTTATGTATTTATTTCTATTAATTTTATACATAAATAAATATGTAACATTATGTAGGTACTTATATACATCTATATATCTATGTATATACCTATACACATATCCATATATGTCTAATGCACGTGCTTATCCCATACACAACTATTCGTTGTGTGTGTGTACAGGGAGAGAGAGTATGAAGGAGATAATGATAAAGCAGATGTGACAAAATGTGAACAGTTGGTAAAGGTGTGTAGCCTATTGAGTGTTTCTTTGTATGCTTCGTACAACTTTTTTGTACACTTAAAATAATTTCAAAAACCAAAAAAATTTTTTTAAATAGTTCTCTTCAGTAGAGGATTTCCAATGGCATTTAATACTCATGCATTCATTCTGTCCTCATTAATTGGACGCCTGCTGGATGCCAACACTGTGCTAAGTGGTTGAAAAATACCTGAAAAGAGAGGGCACATGGGTGGCTCAGTCGGTTAAGACTCGTGATTTCAGCTCAGGTCATGATCTTACAGGTCGTGGGATGGAGCCCCGTGTCCAGCTCCACACTCAGAGGCGAATCTGCTGGACAGTCTCTCCCTCTGCCCCTCCCCACACTCTCACATGTGCACATTCTCTCTCTCTCTCCCCCCTCTCCCTGTAAAATAAATAAATCTTTAAAAGAAGAATATCTGAAAAGAGCATTTTGTGGGCCTAGTTTTCTGTAAAATACATTTTGTAACATATTACTTTGCCTAATTATAATCCCTCTCTTTAACTGGTCCGTAAGTTCCCGAGAGGCAGGTGCCTGGCCTCTTCTCAGAGACCATACTCACCCAGTGCCAATGTACCCCACAGGCGCAGGCCTGGGAGGAGCTCGTAATGTGAGTGAGTGAGTCAAAGCCACCATGAGGCTCTCTGTAGCTGCCACCTGCTTCTGTGGGAATCACCCCCACCTTTAGCTGTCCCCCTCACGCCCAGTCAGCCAGACTCCTCCATGCACCACAGTCTCCACCAAACAGAAAGCTACTGCTGAGATACTCTAGAATCCTACCCACAAAATGACTGTCACTACAATAACACCAAAATCCTGGGCAGCTCTTTCTTTCCCTCCAACTCTGACTCTAGAACAGACGACATGGAAACGATCATCATCAAGGCCCATCACCACCACAGAAGCCCCCTGAGGTATTTGATCGTTGGCCTCAGGACCTCTCCAGAACCCCAGTCAGCAGAGACAGAGTCCTGGACAGCCTGAAACAGGAAGAGTAAGAGAATAAGGCTTACAATGAAGAGTGAGTCACCCATTCCAACAGCTTCTTTGGTAACTTCTCTGCACAATATCCAGTAACAAAAGATCTAGATCTAGAAAGATCTTGGAAATAAAAATGGGAACGCATGTACTCAGAGCCACCTTGATCTGACTGGGGATTCCTGCTTGGTCTTGTGTGCAAAGCACAGCTTTTACCTCATCATCATTCTTAGATTGCCTCTCCACCTTTCTAGCACTTTCTCAAGAGGCTACAGGCTTATGGCATCAGAGCAACTGACACTAGGAAAACTTCCAGAGATAGTGGGTTTGATATGACGATACCATCTAAAAATGTTAAATTGCTTTCCTGAAGTGGATCCGAGATACAGGGGGAAACAACGTCACCAGGCCAGATTTCCCTCGAAATGCGCCTTTTCATGTCCAGTGCGTCACAGCACACCATCCCTAAGGAAGAGCACGACCTGGTCCTGTCACATATGAATTGATGGCATGGTAAATAAGACAATCTTAGAGTAAGATGTGGCCCTGGAAGTCATTGAATCCAGCTGCTCACTCAATGTAAAAACCGTTTAGAAAAATTCCACCGAAGATGCTTTGTGTAAGGAATACTTCTAGAAAGTCAATTCAACCATTTCTTGGATCTCTCCGAGGCAATCGCTGAACGCAGCAAAGTTGTTGGAAATGCTGGGTGTAAAATTTCACAACCACCAACAGGGAAGCTGTGCCCTACCTCTTGGTTTGCTGCCAGATGCCAATCCTCAAAAGAAATTGACATGGAGAGACACACGGAACCTGGAAAAACATGGCTGACCCCACCCTCAGCACCTCCCGGTGGAATGCCTCACATTGAACCCAATGGTCTTCAGAGCACTGATGTTGCCGTAGCTCACAGAATTCCCTTGCTAGTCACCCAGATGCATCCTGACCATTTAAGCACCAGATGCCCCATGAAGCTCATTTTAGCTCTTGAGAATTACCTCAAATGTCGCCCAATTTCTCAACTCAAAAACACCAGTAAAGCAAAACAAAGAGAATTATCCTTCTTTGAGGGCTCCTTGGCACAGTCACCCCTCACACTCTCCACATGGCTATTTGCAAGGTAGGACTACGGCTGTCCTTTCACTGTCCCTTTCATTCCTGACCTGGGTTCTGGAGCAGACTGGAGCATCTCAGCAGGGCTCAAGGGAAGGGAACGGGGACAATGCAATGTGCTCGCACGCTTCCTCCCAGCTCCTGTGGTGAAATTTGCAAGGATTCGCACCTTTGCAGGGCCTGGAGGACTGGTCCCCAAGTCTGAAGTCCCCTTCTGCTCAACGCCCCACCCCCCACGCTCCCATGTCCCTACGTACCAACAAAGTTCATCCAAGTGGGCAATTTTTATCAAAATAAGAGACTTAAAATATTTATATGCAGTATTAAGTGGAGGGAGGGGGAGAAACATGCCCCTTATGAAAAAGAAAAAAAAAAAAAAACATTGTGGCTTGCCACAAGATGTTAGTGATGTCCTCATACAAGCTAGTTGTCACATTAACCTTGAAATGCCAGAATCAAACACTATGTCTATCTTACATCCTGGTATTAGCAAGAAAGTAAGTTCCTGTTCCTTCTCTCAGCAAAGAGAACAACAAAAGCCAGAGGACAAATTGGATTAAACACAGAGATTGAGGCGTGGTGGGTGACCTCCAGTCTCGTGACCCTGTGCCCCTGCCTTGGCTTTGGGTCAGGGTCTCTGCTGCTGCACACCGAGTGGGAATTCAAGCCTCTCTTCTCGCTTGCCTCCCCGGATATGCCTTTTCCCCTGGAGCATCCTGCCTATGTTCCAGGTCTGAGAAGGTTTTCTTCCCCCAGTGTTACACAAAATGCAGCAACAACTTTGGAGGGAAGGAGAGAGGAGACGGGGAATGAGTGAGAGAGGAGAGAAAGAGAAAGAACAGAGCCAGCGTCTTCCAAAGAACGAACATCAGTCCCTGGGAGGGGAGCAGAGAAGTCGGACCTGAGGCCAGCTCCTTCTTACCTTCTTGCCATTCACAAAGAAAACCAACTCATCTGCTGTCATTGTTACAGGTGGGGTCCCTGAACTCCAGCTACTTCACTCCCAGAAGGCACTGACACACCGCCTGGCTCAGCAGCTTGAAAAACTACACCTCCCCCCAAAAAATGAAACTTGGCCAGCCAATAGGAGAAAAGCTGCCTAGAGCTCCAGGGCACAGGGAGGTCTTGGCAAAAGCCACCAGTTATGTAATGAGGAAAACGCAAACAATCTTAGGCAGGAAACCACACCTCCAACAGCTGTGTCAAAGGGCATGGAGGAAGGCACAGGCAGATATCAGCCCGGGGGAGGGCCGGTGGCCAGGTGACCCGTGGTCTTAAGCACCACCCTCCTGGAACCTGTTCCATCACACGAAGGAGGAAAGGCCGAAGTCAGAGCCCTGGGATAAAAAGGATTTACACCTTCCCCTCCACACTTGGCATTTTCCCATTTGGGTATACAGCAACCCGGGCTCAGCACTTACACGGACGACGCATCTCACACGGCCCAGAGGAGCTGCCACGAGGTCATGAGCCATGGAGCCCAGCGATCCAGAACCAAAACCTGGCATCTGACCTTGGCCATGTTGTCTCCAGAACTGTTGTTTTCATCCTGTAAATGGGCCTACGAATGGCACTGAAAGCAGAAGGCAGAGAGACGAATGATATGTTTCTGGAGTGTGTTGTAAGTGTGCCAAGAACCAAAATCTTTACTACTGTCGTGAGTGTATTCTCAGAAACACAACAAAAACTATCCTGTTGACACACCGTTTCTGAGGGTCTTCTTCTGTTTATTTCTCCCAGGAAAAGGCCCCTGATAAGTGATCAGAGTAACTCATTAAGAATATTTCAAAATATCGAATAAATTAAAACACCCACACCTTCCAGGCCCGGGCCAAGTTGACACAGAACTGCAAACCTTCCCCCTCCAGTACCCATTACCTGCTGGTGTGCACCCACAGGCACACAGCCCACCTGGGCAGCGCCAGTGAGCACTCCGTGGTCAGCCCCGAGCTGGGCCTCCCCCATACACACACAGGCACAACTGCACCAGCATTCCCTCTGGTCTTTAGTCCTGGAAGAGCCAGCCTCTCTGCAGTGGGTCACCCCCCCAGTGCCCCACGCAGGCTACATGGGGAAAGAAAGGAGTCTTAGGCACATGACCTCAGGGGGATGGCCCACTAGGACATTATCAGCACAATGCCTTCTCCTTCCACACACTTTATCTAAGTAGGAGATGAGACCTCACTTGTAGGGAGATAAACCATCCTCATTTGGCCCCAACTCTTCTGGTCAAACCACTGAAACTGTGACCAGTCTCTCAGCACATGGCAAACCGGGATGGTTGATCACCATAAACCAATGGTTCTTAACTGGGGGATTGGGAGACATAGAGGAGACATACCCATGTCCATATGATTCAAGGTCATGACTGAGAGATGCTACAGGTTTCTAGTAGCTAAGAGGACAGGGACGCTACTAAACAGCCCCCCAATGTATAGGACGGTCCCCCGCAACAAAGAATTATCTGGTCTGAAGATGTCAATAGAGCCAAGATTGCGAAACCCCGCTCTAAAAAGAAGAAGAGAGAAGGAGGTGGGGAGAAGCAGAGCAGCTGATTGCGGGCAGTGTTTCATAATAGTTCCATCCTCCCTGACCACGCTAACTCACTCCTCAGTGGTAGGGAGGCTTTTCCTCCATCCACAGATCTGCCCAGTTTTGCAAGCCTCCTGCTTTCTCCTTGCTCAACTCTGGCCATATTCCCAGGAAACTCTCAAGATCCAGAGGGAGGACTGAGAAAGAAGTTCCGGTGGGAGGTTAAGTAGTTTGGCTTAAATAATAGCTCTAGCACTTCTGTGAGACTTTTGGCAAAAATCGATCTCTTGGCTTCAATCTGATCTACGAAAATGGGGTGACTGCCTCCTTTGTAAGAATCCTGCCAGGTAAGGATGAGAGAGCCATAGTTTAGGCAGCCGACCTTCAGCCCTTCTCGGTCATCTGGAGGTCAAATTCCTCTCTGTTATTGTGGAGCATTAAGAAAAACAGAAGTGGAAAAAAAAAAAAAAAACAGAAGTGAGATAAATATTGAACAAGGGCTTCTGTTATTCAGATTTTGTTTCTGCGGTAACTGTGGTAACTCGGTTACTTCTGTAATACGGAAATTTGGCAAAACGCTGACTTTGTATGATTATTGATTGTCAAAATATCGGTGACCCTTTCCTTCTCTGTGATTTTCTAAAATGTTACAAATCAGAGGAACCATCTCAAAGAAGCATTTTTCCCCAAGCTGAAGACCTCCTGCTTATGCTTTCCATATTGAGACAAGAATTCTCAAATTTGGGCTGAATTCCTGGATTTCGTGCTTTGGGGGTTGGGCAACTGTAACTTAGAATACATTAACTTAACCCATTTTTTCCTAAGGAATGCCTTAGTTTATAATAGGCACTGTATTGGCGTGAGGTCTCAAGTCTGTAGGAGAGCAGGATAACCCCTGAGACCTCCCAGACAGTCCTAGAACAATTTCAGGAAATCAAGAGTTAAGAATGAAAAGGGCAGAATCCTAATTTCTGGAACAGCAAGCTCCCCAGGGGCCAAGTGCTCCCAGCAGGAAGTGATGAAGAAGTAGAAGGCTAGCTGAGGACAGAGCACAGCTGACATCCTGAAACCTCCTCCCCCCGCCCCCCATCCTGGGTGGATTTGTGTAACATTCTTCCTGGAAGCTCCCAACCCTCTTAAAGTTAAAAGGTTGCTAGAGGGAAAAACAACCTGAACTTGACAATGGCAAGACCTCTGGTATCCCAAACAGCCACCCCTCTCTAAAGCAGCAGCCCTTTCTGCCCATGCGTCCTGTCCCTGTGCTTTAATAAACCACCATTTTGTACAAAAGACGTCTCAAAAATTGTTTCTTGGTCGTCGGCTCTGGACCTCACCCCACTGAACCTCACCTATACTCCAAAACTACACCAGAAGAACAATTCAGGAGAACTTCTGGAGTGTTCCCTGGAGGCCTGGTCAGGGCCAGGCAACAGCTGTCCAGCCTTCCGTGCTCTGTGGGGCTCACTTCCTTGCTTTACGTCTGAATTTGCAGTTTCGCCTGTACCCTATGGCATTTTTTGTTCATTTTCTTCACTTAAAATAACTTTCACTTGAAAAGAAAAAAAAAATCAATTTTCTTTCAAACTATTTCATTACTCACTTTTTGTTGGGTTTTTTTTTTTTCTACTAACTTTGTTTTGTTTTGTTTTGTTTTTCTAAGCCCGGTTTCTCTGCTACAAAGGTCCAGGCCGGATAAAAGATTTTGCTGTGTTCTCAGAGCATCCCTGTGTGGCGGCACCTGTCTTCCCTTGTTCTCTCAGACGTCTAGATTATTAACTAGCCCTAATCATAGTTCTTGGCACCTGAAGAGCATGACATGATTTCATTTGATCCTTATAATAGCCCTGAGAGATGGGCAGGGAAGTTATTATTATCTTCCCTTTCTAGACAAAGAAAATGAGGGTCAAAGAGATCAACTAGCCAACAGTCTCACAGCACACCAGCCTCCTACCCACTCTGCAGCAGAGAAATCTGTTCTTGGATGGTTCTTCACTAACTGTGGAGAATAGACCCGGGATTGTCAGCATGGCATTCATGGTCCTTCTCAGTCCAGCTCAAATCCAGCCTCTGGATGGCGAAGTGTCTTTCTTCCATGGCTAGAGGGTGAGCCCTGGAATCAGGAGTAGAACTGTGCTTGCTGCTCTGTCGCTGGTATCTAGCCTAGTGCCAGGTCTGCAAGAAAGATCAACAAACACTTACGGGACCGAGTCCACGATGAAAGAGTTGAATTTTCAGAAATGTCTCAGCCCCTGAATTTTTTCTTGATTCATTAATTTTTTTTTTCTTAGCATAGCTGACACAGCCTATTACATTGGTTTCAGGGGAACAACACAGTGATTCAACAGTTCTAAATATTATGCTAGGCTTATCTCATGTATGGCTACTACCTGCCACCATGCAACACTATTACAATATCACTGACTCTATTCCCTGTACTGTACCTTTTGTCCCCATGACTTATTCATTCCATAACTAGAAACCTGTATCTCCCACTCCCCTTCACCCGTTTTGCCCATCTCCCTACCGCCCTCCACTCCAGCAACCATCAGTTCTCTGTATTTTTAGATCTGATATCTGATTTTTGTTTGTTTGTTCATTCATTTGTTTTTTTTTTAGATTCCACATATAAGTGAAATCATATAACATGGTATTTGTCTTTCTCAATCTGACTTATTTTACTTAGTATAATACCCCTGACTCTTATCAAATACAGAAATTTCCCCCATTATTCCGGATATTATTGGCAACATTTAATTCCCTCACCAGCAACTTTCCAACTAAACTTCTATCATTGATATCAGGTAACCAGCTAGTATTCCTCAGCAACAAGTAAGCCTTTATTACTATGGCAGAAATCAACCCTTGATATTCTAGACGCATCTGGGAAGTAGATCCTTCTAGAATCAAGAAGCTGGTATTATTGAAAAAGAGACACAGAGTCAAAACTTTTAAAAGCATCTGAATTTCAGCCTGGGTCAGTTACTACAGGTACATAAGAGTTCAAGGAATAGAAAAATCCCAGAAGCAATTTAAACTCATTTTATCTGTCTGCATCTACTATGTTTTTTGAGAATGTCTTTTTGTACGCAGTAAACTCTGTAACCCCGGAGACATTTGCGGTGATGATAATGTGTGCCTATCTGGACACAAAGTCAGGTCTCTCTTTCTAATCCAAGGTGCTCCAGCACATTTAGGAAGGAGAGTCCTTACCTCTGACTCATGCAAAAGATCAACTCACATTTGCCCTGTAGACAGCATGGCCCAATGAGTAGCCACTGAAGAAAATTATTTTCACAACTTATTTACACCCCCATGCCTCTCACCTGACTTTTTTCATTTTATCATCTGAAATAGTATACAATGCACTCACTTAAGGTATTTACGGTTACACCCATTCTCTCTCCAGTAGAATGTAAGTATGTCAGACTTGTCTACTCTTTCACCAAATATCCATGCCTTTCTTCTCTAATGAAGAGTTTCTGCTGGGAGGTCACTGCCCTGCCAGGAGAACCATTTCCTACCTTCTTATAGGTGAGGAAGGCCTCTGACTGAGTTCTGATGAATAGAATGTGGGTGA